CTATCAATATTGACAATAAAATATCCGACAGCCTGCACTGTCGGGAGACTTTGGGGATTCCTGCGGATTCCTGGGGATTTATCGGACCCCATGGCATTCTCGTTGCTTGAGGAACCAAATTTAAATGCCGAGTTTAAGATAGGCTTGTAACGCCATTCACAATTGCTTGCACGTCCTGTCCACTAGGGAATAAATGTCGAACAACGCGTGTTCAAAGGTTTAAAAATTTTACGAGTTTGGGTAATTTTTGTAATTTGAGCATGCATAACACTGATGAAATGCATGTACATGTGTTCGCAAAGAGTGCTATTTGGTCCACTTTTTGCTAGTGGTCAATCTAATATCAGTGTCTCACCACCCCGCGTAATGATAGCAGCTGATACTGCAATTCACCACGTTATCTACTACATGATTCTGTTCATTCATTATTTATGTTCATAACCAGTAAAGCAAGGCAGGCCAAAGAGGGCGGAAAGTATCAATTTTACAGTATGGACTATGAAGCAAGTCCGGAAGAAATATAACCGAAACAGCGCTTCTCTATCTAAGTTTCTGCATTCAGGAATTGGCAGGAGGAGCCTTTGAGCTAGTTGGGAAAATAGAGTTGCCGAAAGCTGCAACCTCAAGGAGACCTTCCGTGAGGGCATTCGACGTCAGCCACAATGGCTCAGTTGTGGTTGTGGGCACCCGGGAGAATGACATATGGGAAATCGCGACGGATTGGATGATCAGGTGCTGAACGGCTTGACTTATGACGCACACTTTGCAGCATTATGCTGAAGAATGCAACGCTAATTGAGAGCATTTTACTTGCATGCTGCTGAAGTATCTTACACGGACCCAACGAGATCCCATGCCCTGTTTCAGGACACAAAATCGAAGAGAACATTGGGACAGAACATCCAACAATGCGGATAACAGAATGGTGCAATTTTCCTATCCGTGGTGAAAAGGTATCTGCGAAAATATGGACGCGATTTCCAGCTGAATTGATCTGATGACAGCGTGCTACAAGTTTCCTGCATACATGCACTCATCAATTTAAGATGCTGCATGATCCAATGATTGCAAGCTCTTGATCAAGAACTTTCTGTATCAATTTTTGATCAAGAAATTTTTAAATTCGATCACAATTCAATATAAAATCGGGCTAATTCGTTGCTTCAAGGCTTTCAAGCAAAGCCCCTGAACCATGCCATTTAGCTTTTAAAGCTAAATAATACACATTAAGTTGCACATAAATTATATGCATACCACATGCAATGGTGGGGATTTAACTCAATGATGCGGGCGCGAAGTCCAGTGCTTTGCCAAAAGAACGTGCGTCACAAGTTCTTATTCATGCTTGCAGCGGAGGGGAAAGCTCTGCACCTCCACGGCGGCTCGTATCAGGCCACGCCGGCGACCTGTACGCGGCGGCGGCCCATCCCAAGCGACCCCACATCTATGCCACGGGCTGTCGCTCCAAACAGGTTCACATATGGCACGCTGTCAAGAGGTGCAGCATCGGCTTGCAGATCGTCGCCTCGGCCCCCGTGGAAGCTGTGGCGTTCTCGGAGCCGGATGGAAAGCACATTGCGCTCGGCATGAGCGACGGCGCCGTTTCAGTGTACGACCAGAAGCGCAGGAGGGTGGCGCTTCGGAAGAGGTGCAGCAGGGCAATTCGAGAGATTAAGTACTCTCCAGGTGGGTCAGCGGCCCTAACAGACCTCGCTAGTTTCATTCTTGGATGTCGTCATCATTGTTGGTCTAATTATCACTAATTTCATTATTGGATGTGTGGCGACTGAGAAACGGTGCGTTTCGATTGAGCGGCTGCCGCTACTTCATGATGCTTGAAAGCGTTTGAATGGTTATCATCTTGAAAATTGTAATTTTTGACGTTTTGATTTCCAATTAGTTCAATTATCTGGGTTCGAGCTCCTTTTTGCATTATTCGAAATGATCAGGTATCAGGAGTGCTGACGAATCGCTGCATTTATGCCGCGGTGGCTTTGCGACCTGATGGCGGTTCTGTGGCGCATGCACCAGGCGCAGCTGCGTCGCAACGCCGCAAATAGATATCTAGGATTTGGGGGCAATAAGGACGGTTTGGGGCTAAATGTCTTCCATTCATTGCGCCGCAGATGGCGCGGTCATGGCGGCAGGTGGGCACGATATGGTGATCGACTTGTACGACGCGCACAAAGGGTACACGCATCGCGCTCGCTGCGCTGGCCACGCCGCCACGGTGCTGCATGTCGATTTCTCTTCCGACGGTAAGGTCCTGCAGAGCTGCTGCAACGCCTATGAGCTCTTGTATTGGGACGTGGCTACAGGCAGGAGGCTGATTCAGAATCAGAGGGACAGGCGAGTTGCGCAGACTGGGAGAAGATGCCTTCTGATACTTTTGAATGTGCACCAGCTGTGCATGTCCAATAGCTGTTGATGCACATGTGTGGAATTGCCAGCGAGCTGTGTCAGCCAAGGTTTAAGGATTTTCGCCTTATCTTTGGGTTGAATCTCGAGCAAGGGTTAAGGGCATAGAGTCTGCCTCTTCAAAACTGGCCAATGAATGTAAGGTAATGGAGATGCGCTTGAAGATTCCCATTCCTACTGCACATTTTCAACGGCATCTGCAGGGCTTGGCACACGTGGACAAGCAAGATTGGGTTCCCTGTGATGGGAATTTGGCCGGAAGGATCCGACGGAAGCGACATCAACTCGGTCTGCCGAGACCCCGAGGGGAAGGATCTTGTGGTTGCGGCTGACGATTTGGGAAGCCTTCGGTTGTTCAAGTATCCATGCTTGGTTGAAAATCCGGGGTGCATCATTCATGGCGGCCATTCGGCGCACGTCATGATGGTGCGGTGAGTGGAGCAGCGGTCTCCTAGCCACCCGGGCACGGGCACAGTGCAAAGAACTATGTTCGCGCGACCGTGTCGGGAATCATGGTAGTCACACAAAGTGTGTGTCCGCGGCCACGGCGTGTTGGCCTCATATGCGTCTCCAGCCAGAAAGCTTACTTGTGATTGTCGTGGCACGCCAACACAGCGCAATGTGCCAAGCATATGGTCCATTCGACACGCCGATTGTCATGAATCTAAAATAAGAAGCTGGTTCGCAGATTTTCATGCGATGGGCGAAGGGTCATATCGGTTGGTGGCAGGGATAGGGCGGTTTTCCAATGGAAAGTTGTGAGAACAGGAGATGACAACGAAATCCCATCCCCAGCAACAGGTAAATGCGCGTCCTCCGACATCGGTTGACCAACATTGGACATCCATTGATGAAGCCATTGAGAAAGCTGATCAGCTTTATCAATGCAAGAATCACTGAGATTGCGCCGAACACGGCATTGATAAAAAATGTTAACGAAGAAGTCTCCTTGACATGAAGATGTTGTTCAAGAACTTTAATGCCATTTCAAACACGAAAATCTTTATGCTCAATGCTCTATAGTCTTTCGCCCATCCATAATTCCTGCTGGCCAATGGCAACATAGGCAAACATGATCGAGCAGTAGGGTTTCTGAGCAGCGTGCATGCGGCCGAGGATGTCGGCTGCAAGCCGCAGCACGCAAGCGCCGAGAATCAGGACGCATTGCAGACTTATCGCTGGGCAGCACGGGTGTGCGTAGCCATTGGGGGAGTGATTGAACCGAGCCGCAAGTTCTGAAGTGGAGAGAAGTGAACTGTGGAAAAGTACGTGCAGGGGTGCACGCCTCGGGTACACCTTCGATGGCCTGCTCAGCCGCTGTCGACGCCGAGGCTCTCGAGGGTCCAAAGAGAGGTGCAGCAGCTCGCGGCGAAGGCGCATGGTGTGGGCCGCTCTCCGCCAGGGAGCTGGACCACGAGTTGAAGCGCCTTCGAGCAAGGTGGCGCCAAAACGTTTGCGAGTTGAGGAGCAAATCCACGTGGGGGGCCCTCGATGAAAAAGGGGTCCGCTTTGGATGGGTCGATGGATAACCTCTGGGGGAAGCGCGTCACGTGATTGGGGCTCCCTGGCAGCCACAGACCAAGGAATTTAGCGATATCAATTGATGACGTCATGCTCGACGCTGCACGTGGAGCGGATGCATTGGTCGATGACGTTGCCTTCCACTCACGGGCTGAGGGACTTTTAAGCCTGTCGGTTGGACGCTGTCTCAGAGCACCATTTCTCCTGTCGCCCCCTCCCCGCTTCACTGCTGCAGCGCACCCACGAAGATGGCTTCCACGCAAGTTGGCCACATTGAGCCGACCCCGTCAACACAGTCGGTTGCTCTGATACTTTCAACGTTCTCCAGAAATTACATCTATCTATGATGTGTTGTCGCTGACAGCGATAGAAACCTTATGTTACACTTCTCGACCTCGTCAGGCTCTTCACACACTTGCAGCTGAACTTGGCTTAGCTGAGAGCACGCTGTGCGACCAAAACAGGTTTGTTATATTTCTGCTATAGTAAATACAAGACATCAATATCAAGATAATATTACCTTACATGTCATTGATGTTGCTGTTATCATTTGGGCCTTGGCGTGACCGCCGTTCAGAGCACACCTCATGTGAACGACCATCAACTCTCTTGGCCACAGGTTTGCCAGGTTAGCCAGTGTCCACAACAAAAAGGGCACCCTGACTCCTGCAGGCCAACACTTGCGCGCACGGCATCGTTTGCACTCAGAACGCCCACCGATTCGTCACGTCGCCCTCCGGCGTCTAATGCAGGTGGCAGCAATCCTCCTGTGCGACTCAACAAGAAGCACAGCCGGAATTCTGTAAAGGCCTGCCACCTCTCGAACAAAGGTCCACACATCACCGTGGAGCAAATCCGTCGCACACAACTCCCCCCGGGCCCATGCTTCGCCAATTAAAGGCCGACGTCAACGGACAATCGATGTTCTGATCATGCACAAATAATATACAAATCCTTCACGAATTGGCCAAGCGGCGTCATCAAGCACGAAAACCAAGGTTCTGTACAAGGCACAATATAAAGACAACAAAAATAAAGAAAACAAAGAAAAACCGGATCCCTCATTGACTGGGAGGCTGCCCATCATCGAGGGCAAGCTGGTGCTGAGGGACGAACGCTGCATGGAACCCGTACGGCACACGCAGGGGCATCTCCAGCCTGGTGACCACGCCCATGCTCTCCGCATCCAGCACAACGACCTCTGTGGCACCTGTCTTGTAATCTGAAGCGAATCCCACGAGCCAGCCATCTTCAGAGGCATCGACGCCAGCGTCCAGGTCACTGGGCCTTTTGCTGCCTTGGGTGCAGTCGCGGGGAGCGAAAGCGAACTGACTTGTGAACCACCCCTCAGGGAGAACATGCTCAACGGGAGGGGAACTCCAATCATCCGTATCGAATTTCAGTATCTTGTTGAAAATTCCATTCTGGTGGCCCCTGCCGCCAGGTCTGTCACACACTGCGGTGGTGTAAAAGAAGCGACAGTGCTGCCCCAACAGCGCCTCGTTCATCGTCAGCAAGCCTATCTCGTGGCCGAAGTCAGACAGACACCTTTCACGGCTCTCACCGGTCTCCAGATCCAGCACATATTCATGGAGGCGGCCTTCCAAGTCGATCAACTCCTTGGCTGCCACACTCTGTTCAGGATTTCGCACACAGTGCAGCACGACCTCGCTTCCCCTCTCAAATGCGTTGATAGTGTGGAAGATGAAACAGGGATCGACGTTCATCCATCTAATGTCCTCCTCTTTGCCGAATCGAGGCAAAGCACCGATTCTGGCGCCTACATCGGGATTGAATTTGAACACGTTGCCTCCAGCGCGCAGTTCAGTGGGCGTGTAAACGAGAGGCATGTCCAGGACCAGGGTGTAGTGCTTAGTGATTGCGCAGTCATGCATCATGACATGGTTCATGAGCTCTTTCAGGCGAATCTCATGGATGAGGCTCCCATTTCTGTCGAACACCCTGTCAGGGAAAACAGGAAAGTTTGCAGCTATTTCAGGAAGACACTGCAATGCAACACTTTTGGCCATGCTTAAAGTTGAAAGAACAGCTTGTGCACCTGTGAAATGGGATGGGAGGGCGAATGGGGATGGCATGGCAGGGCAATGCGTTTGAAGCCCAGAAGTGAAAAGATGTTGCCGTTCTGTGTATGCACTTTATGCAGCACATGGCACAGGGCAATGTGACCCTTGTGTGCAACATGAGACTGTGCAACATTACTAATGGTAATGGATTAGTGTTAGTTATCAAGATTATGATCTGATGCAAGTCATGAATCGAGCATCCTAGGTAATTACCAGGGAGTTCAACACCAAACTATAGCATGTCTCAGAATTGGACTCCCAAATCTCCAATACGTCTGCTGCCTTGAATAACATCCCTTTCTTTCTTCATTGGGGCGGTGGATTGCACAAATGACGGCAATCAAAGGGAGCTATGAAGACTGAAACAGCTGATGAATGGGCACCAATTTGTACACGTTTGCAACAGGTTGGCTTTTGGGCCCAGAATGGCGTCTTTCGAGTCATTTCCATTCCATAGGGACACACTGCGAATTTCCAGCTGCAGTGCCATTCTGAATTGCACTCGGCATCCCAACTGCAGATTTCGAGCAGCATTGCTCCCCCACTTGACCGGCGACCGGCGGGCCACTTCCCGCCGCCTCGCGACGACGAACTCTGTGAGCCCACCTGTACACGCACTGCGAGCGCCCCATCAGCTGGTACGACACGACCATCATCTCCCCTGTCACCGGGTCCACCTTCGGGTGCGCCGAAAAGTTGCCGTCTACGGCGCCCCGAAACCTGTACGGGCCCACGGTCTCCACGTCCGGAAGCCTCACTTCATACGGGGCGCCCACCTCCCACAGCGCCAGGCACTTCCCGTGGTGGTGCACCACCGACGTGTTGGCCCTGTTCTTGGTGGACGCCCACCAGGCCATGTCCCCCCAGTTCCCTTCCCCCCCCGCCACGCCGAACGCCCTGGGCGGCAGCACCTTCATCGCCAACGCGTTCACCGCCAGCCCCAAATACTCCATCGTGCAGAAGCCGCTGAAGATGTCCTCCTCGACGCCCAGCGCCTCCTCCATCTGGCGCCCCAGCGTGCGTATCATCCTCCCGCGGTAACTAGCCGTGGGCCGGTTTTCTGCCCCAGAAAACATCACGCAGTGCAGCATGCCGTCGCCGTCGAACCAATGGTGCTTTCCCTTGAAGGGCCTCCTCGTCGGATTGGGCCCGTTGCGCAGGAACGCCCCTCTTAAGCCAGCTGGAATGCTCCCCTCTATCACCTTCAAATTGTCCCCGATGCTGGGGTCCTCAGCTTCACGCACGGGTAGAAAATTCCCCTCGAGGTAGCCCTTGCCGACCTGCACGTCCGCAAACAGACCCCGGAGCTCGCTCTGCCTGAGGACCTCCGGGGCGGGGCGCGCGGTTTTGGCCGGCGGGGCGTCGACGGCAATGGCCTGCGCGGAAAGGTGGTCGCGGGCGGGAGGCGTGGATCTCGTGCATGATGGCCTGGGGCGCGAGAGGGGGATGTGGGGGCTTGCGTGTTCGGCGGGGGGCCCGGAGGGGGGCCGGGGCCCGCCGCCCTTGCCGCAGGGCTGCGCCATGGGTGCTCGCGTTGCGGCGTCCACACACCGCCGTGGTATGATCGCCAGCGGCGTGTAGGGGCCCCAGGGGCCGGTGACCAACCATTGGTACTGTGGGGATGATGGGTGTTAGGCAAGCACCGCGGTACTGTCCCGCGGGATGACCCGCGGCTGCGGCATACAATTACTGATTGCACCAAACCGGTGACTTTCTTCACTAAATCGGTGACTGCTTGCACCAACTCCCTCCAAAACTTTCCTAACCTAAAACCTAAACCTAAGCCTACCCTAACCCTAATCCTAACCCTAAAACTCACCCTAAAACTAAACCTAACCCTAAAACTGAGGTTAGGACATAGTGTGCACGTGATTTAGTGCAAGCAGTCACCGATTTGGTGTAGGGAGTAAAATAATTTCCGCGGCTATGCCAACGGCTGGCCTGGCGGGGTTGGGCCCCATCACGATGGGACGCCCTTACGTGGAGCGATCGCCCTAACGGGGATATGGGGGAACAAGAGTCGGCCTTTGAGTCCGTAACGATGGATGTTCCTTACACGGCAGCACCACATATATACTCCATGACAGATTACTATTCGTGTCTGGTTTGACTCCAGCACGGTGTGTCCAATTCCCATTGCCCTCGCCAGGAACTCCTTTCCCCGAAATCACCCCATCAAAGCCATGAACAAGCTTCGCAATCTTGGCACCAACATGGGTCAGTGACAATTTGGCCAAGCGACACTCTGGCCAAGCATCGTAACCTGTCAGATGCGTAGAGAAGTGCTGCCAGCTCAACTCAATAGGTAACGGAGGAATGATACGGTGCGAACTTCACGCGCTTGACTTCAGCACTTGCCTCTTGGCCGCGAGCAAGGCGGCGCACGAGGGCAAGGAACCGTCGTCTTGGAGAGGACTGTCGCAAAGGCCAGTCGTTGCTGGAGCGAAAAATTGGGGCCTGGATGGCCTAAACTCAAGACCGATGGGAGATCCACTCCCATCGATTTTGGCGGCGCTGTTGTGGGCACCGGCGACGAGGCCAAGATGCTCACGCGCGCCCACCCTGAGCTGTTCACGTTGGCATAGGCTTTCCAGCCTACTCTCGGCCAGCTTCACCAGCCGTTATTGGCTGGCCCATTGACCGCTTGGCGTCAATGTTGAAGGGGCAGCAGATGCTGATTTTCCAACGGGCCGATCTCGCCAAACGGCAAAGACCACGTTGTCGATCCTTGGCAGCGTTTGCTCCTTGAAACGAGCGTGCAGGTTGTCTTCAGGCAAGGCACCAAGCGGCCATGTGCTGCCATTTTTGCGCGGTGCGCCCGTCCAACTCGCGCCACGGCCGAAATACACGTGGGCAAGCCGCCGTGTCGACGGGCGCAATAGAAACAGCCGAGTATCCCTGGTGAGGATTCCTGCTGGAATCCGTCCATATCCGTGTCTCCAGAGAGTCCCTGGACGGTGCCACAGCCGCCAGAGAGCCCCTCTGCCGCCGCCTTGGACCCGCCACAAGTTCACAGTGACTTCGCGGCAGACCGTCAAACGGGCACATTTTTCCCCGTCACAGTGTATCGGAGGAGGGCGAAGAGGGGAGGGGCCAGCACGTGATTGGCCCAAATGCGGGTACGGTACTTGACCGGAACGTCACTTCGCCAAATTGTCCCTGACCCATGATCGTCATGAAATTAGCCCCTTTGCCTTTTGTGTCATTGTCAATTCCTCTTTTGACACACCAAAGCCTAAACCCCTGACACACTAACCGAGAACATATTAGTCCCTCTGACCCAAGTTGGCCTTTTCAGCGAAGAAGAAGGGGTCTTGAAGAAAAAGATGTGGGGCATGATCAATGGTGACTGTGACCGATGGGGCCTGATCCAGGATGACTCATGGAGACGGATCGACGGCGGGTCGGTGACGGGCGGCCCCTGGACGGTGCTGATTTCCAGGCGCTCGCCTGGCGTTTGCGTGCTCCCCAAGCCTTTCTGTTACACAGAGCATGTCAGTATATATATCTTAGTGCACTCTAGAATTTTCTTAGTACATCTTAGTAATCATGGGCATCTGTACAGGCAGCATCTTTCTGTGTGGCCCACAGACTGCAGGTGCTGCTCGTCGGGCTGTGTGCGATAGAAACGGTTCTCATTGGCTTGCGTCTTGCCCTTAATAGCAAGGCATATGCAATACTTGTGCGTTCCTTAGGCCCTCGCTGCGTCAAGGTCGGTGACAACGACAAACAATAAACACGTTCGTGGTTCCCAGGAAGCCACCAATGAAGCACTGCCCAGCACAATCGTGCACCATTGCGGATGTCCTAGGACCGCGATTGGGCGTGCGAGCTGCTGCTCCGCCTTGGTCACTGACTGTAGGATCCGTGTTGGGGGCTATTGGCGCTGTGCATCACTGTGGCCACGCAACGGTTTTCGTTCCCGCTGAGGTGGATTTTGGATTGTCTGGTTGGATGACGATCGCTGCCCGCGGTCTGCATGTGCAATTCAGGAACATTTGCTTCCCTAGATAGGGGTTGAATTCCAGTGGAGGGCGAGCACAATTCCAATTTGCCACATTATCAAGTGACAAATGTCCCAAATGATCAATGCCACATCACTGCTGTCATGTACAGCGGACCGTGGACATGTAACGCCAGGCCACGACTTGCGTGTGGACAAAGGGCTGTGAACTCGAAGTCCCGAACAATGCGAAGCCAGCCATTCGCTGATGAACACATATCCGGGCACCATCAAAGGCATGCGCGCTTTCCAACGTGCTGCCAAGACTGTGGCGCGGTCAGGGCCAAAAGCGTTGAACAGAAGCTGTGATTCAAAAGAATTTCGACTTTGCGTCAGTTGCGATTCACTGCCACCATCCTCAGAGCGCTGCTGGGACTGTGCCCCAAGCCGCCCATTTCTTTATACCAAGCCCACGGTCCCAATCCCAACGACGCCAGCGACCCTCGGAACGCCTCCTCTCGCCCATGGATGATTTCTTGCCAAACTATACTCAGAGTTCGTCAGAATCGTTTCCTACTTCGCACACCTAGGTGAAGCACTCTTCTGGCCATAAGTTCTACAATTCGATGCAGGCTCTCTAGTTTATTTTCGCGCTCCTCCCCGAGCGGCCATCCCAAAATGAAATTAGCGCGCCATCAGGACCATCCAGCAAGCGTCCTCAAGAGAAAGATGGAGGCCACGCCATTCTTATTCGCCAACACCCACTTGGCCCAAAGAAAGCAGTTCTCCCACCTCCTCCAGCATCTCCACTGTTCCCTTGCCCAACGCAAACTGCAAGTTTCCGCTCCAGATCAACATCACTAACCACCTCCCAGTAATCCGCAAATGGAACCAAACTCAAAAGTATCAACAGTGTCAAATGTGTCAAGAGCGCCTAGGGCAGCAAATGCATCACAAGCATCAAAAGGCGTCACGGACATCATGTGCATGGTGCCCCGTCCGCCGCGAACGCTGACACTGCTCCCTCATCGTGGCCAGCGGACAGCCACAGTGTGGTCCCCACGCAGCCCACCGACAGAGCCTTGACAGCACAGCTGCTGGAGCACTGCAGCGGCTCCAGCAACCCATCCGCGTCCGCCTTCAGTTGAGCCCTCCCAGTGGCCACCCCCAGCCGCTGCGCCACATCCCAAACGTGAATCTTCCCATCCTCTCCTCCCGCCACGGCCAGGTGCCCGTCTGTCTGCACGCACCTGAGCGGACTGCCCATGCTCGCCGAGGCAATGGTGCCACCATCTTTCCTGGTCGCAAGGACCCGCATCTGCCCGTCCTCGGAAACAGCCACCACATGGTTGGAGTCAGGGGTGATGCACACTCCTCCCACATACTCCATCCCCAACTTCGATCGCCAGATCACGTGGTCTGGCGTGCGCACGTCCCACGATGTGACCACGCCTTCGTTCGTCCCTGTCACCAACACGTTCCCATCGGCAGTGCCATCCATTGCCCACACGGCAGATTCGTGGTCTGATAGCTCGGCCACTGGAATCAGAGGCCGGGTCGGGGGCCCATCCCAGGGTGACCGTGCCTCGTCCAAGCGCCATACCTTCACGGAGCCATCCCAGGAGGCAGTGATGAGCTGCTGCGCAGCCCCGGCGTTGGGGCACGTCACATGAACTACAGACACCACATCGTCGTGCGCGCCGAAGTGGCCCACCAAGCGGCCGTAGTCCGCAGAGTAGGCATACACAGTGTTGTCGTACGAGCCCGTCAGCACCAGGGGGTGTTTCTGAGAGCCTTGGGGAAGCAGCGCGATCGAGGAAAGGGGGATGCCAGAGCCGGGGTTCAGTTCCAGCCGGGCCGACCGCACCTGGGCGCCGGTCTCCAAGGAGAAGAGGCGCAGGGTCGCACCATGCCCAGCACAGTACAGCGTGCCACCACCGCTGCTGGATGTGGCCACAGCGTTCACCGCCTCCTGCTGGAACCTCAGAGTGTGGCGCTGAGCCATTCGATGCGGCAAGCAGTCCGCCCACCAACCTGATGGCTGCAGCACCCCTCCCTCTTGGCCGTTGTCAGATGGCGTGCTCGCACTGCCACCTGATGGCCTGGGCCCCCAGGCTGCCTGGCCCTTCAGCTGCCCCACAAAGCTGGTGAACTTCGAACCCAGGTCCATGCCACGCACCTTGTCTGTCACGCTGGTCACACCCTTCCTCAGATTACGAATCCCAGAAGATGGGTCAACAACTCTGGTTTGCCTCGCAGATGCCGCCTTCTTGAACATGTGGTCCTTTCCGATGAAGGCCCACTGTCCCAGCACCTCTGCATAGGGACCAGAGGTGGATGGCTGGCTGTCAGTAGGTGTCGGCGCACCCACTGGCCGCTCATAACTCGAATTTCTGCCTGCAGGAACATCGCGGGCAGTGCTTGCCTCGCCAGGTTTCCAATGATCGGCTGCAGGGGAATCTGGCCCGGCGTCCAAGTCCATTTCGGACTCTGTGGCATGCACCACAGCAGAGAGGAGGGCAAGGGTGAGCGCCTGGCCATCAGTGTCTGCCGCAGCTGCAGGGGAGAACCCCAGGTCAGGCATGCTGTTGGAGGAGGATCGCACCAGGGGCGTGCCAGCCACAAACACATCGTCCGGGTCTGGTGCTGGGGGGCAAATGAGGCGGGGTGGGTGCGGCTGGCTGAAGAGCTGCATCGGCGTTTGGCCAAACTCGTTGATCTGGGCCTCCAGGGCCCGGCGCTCCACTGGGTCGATCACCTTCTCTATGTCTACCGCACCCTCATAGCTCAGGTAAAAGAACAAGTTGTCTGCCTCCACCGCCGCCTGGCCCTTCTGCTTGCAGCCAAAGATCAGATCTATCCATTTGTGCAGGTGCGCGGACACGTACGGCGATTCCAACGCTGCTCGGTGCTTCGCCAGAAAATCCGGCGGGCTGTCCGCCCAGGGGGGCATCTCCACGTCACACACCGACCTCCCATTCTGCCGTTTCCCCAGAGCCAGCTGGGCCCTGTTGAGCAAGAAGTCATCGTTTGGCAGGAAGAATTCGGGGATCAGTTCCTTGACATCCGCCGGGTTGTTCAGCACGCTCTCCCAGCACTCCCTCATGCTGTAGAACAGCCGGTCGGGCGAGTCGAATCTGCCGTTCTGTAGCTGCAGCATGTGGGCCGGGGCTGCCCTCACCAGCCAGAACATGACGTATCCAGGCGTGGAGTAGTGGGTACCGTACAGGAACTTGGGCGGGTACCCCTCGCTTTCGTCGGGCATCTCCCTGTGCCTGTCCCTGAACATCTGCAGCCTGCTTGCGTTTAGGGCGCCCACGGGCTTGGTGAGGTCCCTGAAGGTGGCTGGGCTGCTCAGGTCCAGCACCTCGCTGGTGTAGTCCGCCAGCACCCAGGGGAACACGGGCCACTGGGTCAAATCGTTGAACGACCGCCCGGCCGCCAGATTCAAATACAGCAGGTAATCGAACGTCGAGATCTTCCCACGCTGCCACGCCGCCATCACCTTCTTCAGCCACCTGCCCCTGGCCTCCAGGATGGCGCCCCGAGTGGCCCCCGATCCCACCCTGTCTAGCAGCAGGCCGATCACCTTCTCCCGCTCCTCCCGCGTCCGGAAGGCGAAGAACGCGCTGGGCGAGTCCCACATTGGTCCCAACGCGTCATGCGGCTTGGCGCTCCCGTCCAGCGACACGCCCGCCACGAAGAACACCTCCATGCCGATGTGCCGCAGGGAGCTGCGGCGGCGCGCCACGGCCGCCACGTCCGACAGTGGGTGCGTGCGGATCAGGTTGTTACCCGACATGGTGTGCAGGGGCTGGAAATACAGCCTGCAGCCCGTGATCACCATCTTCCCGGGCTCGCGCACCAGCGGCGTCAGCTGCGTGGCCGGGCCCTCGTACAAAATCCTCTCGCTGAAATCCACTAGGCGGGATGTGTCGAAGGACGCCGCGTCCTCGCGCTCCCGCGCCTTCTCCTCCAGGTGGCCCTGCTGCCCCTTGAGCGCCAGTTGCTCCATCGCCAGGCCCATGAACCGGTCGAAGTTCGCGTAGGGCAGGCTGAACCGCCACGCGGTGAGCCGGCCCTTCTCCACCAGGTAGGGGTGGTCCGCGCCGTTCTGCTTCATCTTGGTCAGCCGGCATGTCGACAGAGCGAAGGCCTTGGCGCCGTCCGGCAGCAGGGATTGGACGTCCAGGAACGAGATCCGGATCACGGGCACCCGGACGTCGTCCGCGTCGAAGAACAGGGACTTAGAGCACAGGCGCAGCGTGCCGGGCAGCTCATCCGCCCCCTTCCAGTTGCCCTCCACCTCGCCTGGCCACCGGCACGCGCACACGTACTCCTGTATGTAGTCCTCGCCGTCATCCAGGAGCAGCAGGGAGAAGCGCTTGGCGGTCTTGCGCGCGACGTACATGCCGTCGTCGCGACGATCGGCGGCCCGCACCGGTCGGCAGTCGCCCGCCGGGGGGTGGGGGGTCGAGCGGGCGGGGTGCGGCCTGTGGGGCGGCCCGCGAGGTGGTCAACCCATGCAAGAGCGCGTCGTCGCTTCAGGGTCCATGGGGGCGCACCCAGGAAGCTGCCTTATGGGCCCCCGGCAGGGAGAAGTTTTGCCTGTGAAAAAAAAGCGAAACGGGTCCGCTGGCTGTGGCATTGCCATTGGCAACAGCCCATTGTCTTGCGGTGGAAAGGCAACGAGGCGTTACCTTGCTGGTGTAGCTGTTGCATTTTTGTTTCCGCTGCCTTGGTGTGCAAAATTTCGCAAACGACTGCCGCCCGACCCCGTTGCCATTTGGGCGCAATGAACATTAAATGGACGGCTGGCATGCAGTTAGTCAAGCCAGAAGCAGACCCGCGTGCTTTCTAAGGAGTATCTGACAGTGAGTCACTTGGGGCGTTGCTCCAGTCCCCGCCTCATACCAAGATTTCCTGTGTTCATGTCCATCAGCTGATGAGCGGCTCCCGCTGCTGGCCTCACCGCCGCCCTGGGCCCCTCATCCTGCCGAGCAGCAAGCACGAAAGAAAATATGCCCTCCGTGTGGCAGGGTCCTACCCCCTTCCGTACAATGCCGCCGGCCATCAGCTCAGTTTAGCCTGAATTTCACGGCAACAGCCAACCATCGAGCCTCAGTGCGTATACTTTCACATCATCACCGAATCCGAAAGTACCTTCCAGGGCATAGGCGGGCTGGGGCAATAAGTTGCGGTCTTCAGGCACTCGCTGATAGAGGGGTTGCCCGCCGCCGCCAGGGAAAGCTCGCCAAGGCGAACGCCGCACTACAAGCCTTGGCTACTTTTGAGTTCCGGAGTAGAATCCACAAACCCCCTGGTCCACGTTCGATTCAAACTTGGGAAACAATGTGCCCAACATGACAATTATAAATTCCGTTGAATTCCGATGACTCTGGGGTGCGCAGCACGTGATCACCTGGCGATGTGATCTTCAAGAAGTGCAAGGCCGTTGGGTACTGGATTTAGCTGTTGGGTGGGAGCAATGGGGCCCCGAGCATGGTCGCGGATGCCCCACCTAACCACCGCTGCGGGATGGCTTCTGGCCAAGGGTGTTCTTCACTTAAGGGGGTGTATTCGGATTCGGCGCTGCCTCTAGCTGGAGAAGGCTTGCTGTCCATTGGGCGTTGAGATGCTGCGCGCAATGAATCTTCATCGATTTCAGCACTGAGCATGTGAGCTTGCTGCTTTGGGAGGCGTGGAGTGGGAAGCACTGAGCGCATATCTCTGCGAGCCCTGTCTGCTGCATGCACAGCACTCTTGGGGCGGATCTAACTTTGCATGTCCTTCACCTTATGCCCTCGATGGAGGAGGACGCTTCTGCGCCTTGCGGCTGCGTTCGAAATTGTTTGGCATTTTGAGCAATCAATTATTAAATGCTGCAGAGCTGACCCCAGCTTTCGCCCTCTCTCTCATTCCACAGTGTTGCGGAATCTCGCATCAGCACTTGCAAATTAACCCTCCGCTGCGTTCGATTCAATAAATCCGATCACTTCCTCGTCCAGCCCATCGAGCCTCAACCAAGACATTCGTTTCTAATAATTAAACTACAATCGTCACTGCCGTTGCCGCAGATGACGCACTCTACCTCACGAACCTGCTGGCCCGGACACAATTGTCCACCTCGTTCCCGAAGGGAGACTGCAGCACTGTAGCTACACCTGGCACAATGGAGCGCTCCTTCGTTGCTCCATTTCTTGCTCCAGTGGCAAATTTTGCTGTGGGCGTCGGTCACCCTCCCTGCAAGAGAATATAATTTAGACGTGTGTTACACAGAGTCACTATCTGAGCACAAGGTGCAGCACCGCCAAATGGACATCTGGGCCAATGTCCAGGCAATAAGGATGCGTAAAAGCGGCATCGAGAATCAACAACACATCAACCTCGCCTTGCATCGGAGGCTGTGCGCGACCTCGGGAGTAACAATACCCCCGCCGCCCCCCTACTTGCATGAAATAGTTTGGATCTCAACGATGAAGGGGTTCGCCGAACTGGGAGTTTCAACCACAGTTGCTCCTCTTTCAAGTAGCTAAAGATATATCAACGTGGCACCGCCTGTGCTCGCAAGGGTGACTACCAACGGCGTACACGACTCCGATTGTTGGCCAAGTAGCCGCATCCCCAGGCAAGACCGGTTCTTGGCATGGCATACAAACGCTTGCCTATAGACGTCCGTCGGCGCCCCCAGCATTTGCTGAACATAAACTGACGGCAAGGCATTTATTCTGAACCTCCAGCTAAAGTCCAATTGGGATTCTTCAGGGACGAGCTTTGTCGCTGCAACCCATCTCGCATTCATATCCTTCCATCCCAAACGCCGTCCAACTTTGCACGGCACTCCATGCCCCTTTGAATCCCGCCAGATGCCATTCCAGGTCGCAGAGCGCCCGCGAATATGCCCCAAACTCGGTCACAGGTCACCGCACAAACTTTGGTCACGCTGTGTGTCTCGCTTTGGCTGCTTGCATGGCAACGAGACCCAGTTTCGCGTCGTGACGGCCGCGCTTAGTCAGGACACCGGCGCGGGGATGTCCGACGCAGAATTCAGGGTTCCAATGCTGGTCCCGCATTCGTACCTTGAATCACATCCCCTCGTCTTCCTCCTCCATCCCGGGCGCGGGCGCCGGCGCCGCTGCCACCTCCTGCAGGATTTTCCTCCCGAAGGCCTCCTCGAACTCGTCCAGCTCGGTGAGCGTGGCGTCGTGGCCCTCGTCTTCGGCGGCCCTCGTCCACGACGGCCACGCGGCCGCCTGGTGGTCTTGCGACAGGGCCACCAGCACCAGGGCGATGAGCGCGAGCGCGGCGTACGACTTCATGGTCCTCTTCCGCACACGGGCTGCAAGCAAACAGGCAACACATCACGCATCATCAGCAGGGTACTGGCCCCGTCAAGCAAGCAGACTTCAAAGCTTGCAGTGCACAGCAGGCAAAGTTGCTGTGCTAAACGAGCCGTTGGGGTGCGCAGAGAGCCTTGATCAAGACGGAGCCGTGACTTGTGCGCGCGTGCAACGGCCTGGAGTGCATCCCGTACGGTGGTGCACTCCACATCGGCGTGGAGCCGCAACCAAACCGAGACTTTTGGCGTCTGGTTCCGTCTGATCGGGTCCGATCGGCCTGATCGGTACCAAGAACGCCGTTCGGCGCTCTCGCGCCAAGTGTCGACGGCCACGACGTACAGACAACCCTTCCCAGAGGGCGCAACGAACGTGGATCTCGCGGCGATTGGATCACAATGGGAAGTTTGGAGCTGGGCGGGGGACAAAATGCGCCCCGGCGCCGCAGCACGGTGCATTGGGGCGCGTGCTGAGCGCTTGGCCACTCATCGGCTGGCTCAACTGAGTCAGGAATTTCTTGCAGGACTCGGCAATATCGCTGGCCAGCTTTGCAGCCAATGCTGCCGAACAAAGCTGAGGGTGTGACTCCCAAAGGAGCTGGTGTTTCTTCGGGGAACGACGGGCTCCGCCAGAGCACCCCGGGGGGCGGCCAAAGGCGCACACTCTTGCACGAGCGCTGCACGTCGCAGCACGGCCCCCGCCACCTGGGCCCAAGACCGTTGATCGCCGCAGGGTTCAACATCACGAGCAGCGGAAGCGCACAGCCAGGAGAGGCAGCCAAGCGAGGAGATCCCGCCTCCATTTGGCCCCCCCCCCCCTCCCCGGCCACCCCCTGTTCGTGGCCCACTGGCGGGACTGCGGCAGCATGGACTCTATGCGCCCACAGTGCCGGCCGATCAGACGCAGCGGCCGAATATGCAAGATCGATTCGAAGCGGAGCATTTCTCGTGGCCTTACCGGCGCTCCCGAGCGCTTGTGCAGGCAGGCGGCGGCGGACGGCTCCCTAGCTGATGGTGTGGAGGTCAGCGCAGTCGACGTTTGGTGTCCGTGGGAGCCTGTATTTTGAGGGCGGTTGTGCGCTGGGGGTACGTGATGGGACAGCGCCCCGTCTGGTGGATCTTAGGTCAGGGCGGGTGAGTCATGACGGTCCCGCAGCGGGCCGCGCGGGCGCCAAGCGAGGAGGGACATCGGCGCGTACAAAAGGCCGCCCGCATCCGCCGGATTTGGCCTCCACGCGGGACTGCGGACGCTCCTACCGGGGGCTGCAACCGGGGTTGCCCGTAGTTTCCTTCGATCATGTCGGGAACGCAAGTCGGAAAAACAACGCGCCGTTTGCTAGGGTTGCAAGTCTCAAGTTCATTTCGGGCCTGGGGAGAAAACAGAACTCGTTCCGTGTGCTGATGCCCCTCCTCAACCATGGGCACGACGGCGGGTGACGCGCTGGGGTACAGCGTCCGCGAGAAACAACAATCTTGAGTGTTGTGTGCAGCCGTTTACACGTATGATGTACCTTGGGAATCCGGCAGGCGTGACGGGCCGGAACGCTGTGATGGGATGCGGCGCAGAGTCGCACTTCGCGCTTCAAAACTCAGCCAATTACGGAAGCCATCTCCAGGGGAAGTGTCGTCCAGACCACATGTCCAGGTATGCAGCACAAGAGCAGCCCCGCAAGAGGTCGCCACTCTGGGTCGGGGCAATTCCAAACACCTCGCAAACCGGGCGACTTGTCGCCAAGGTGCTGAGGGTCACGGAGTTGGGGCCCCTGAGTGCGATGGGTTGCCCCCGTGTCAAATGTCCCGGCAGGATTCTCGTCAGGCATCGGAGCACTGTTTCCAGGTGTACTTATAGGTGGTCGCAGGGCCGTGTGTTACAACGTTTCAGACGCGTCAGTCCCCTTCGAAGGGCATCCCGTACACATCGTACCAGGCCTCAACGTTTCTGCGCACAAGTGCCATCGCGTTCCGCAGGGAGTCGGGTGGCTCGTTCATGTTGCCATCTGCACGGTTTGCAAAACACGAGTGACCTTCATGACCCCAACCGACCCAGTGCCCGCACACACACACCCGCCCCTTCAGTCCATCAACATAGCCCACCACAACCTCAGAAATTGGTGTTGTCGAAGCACAGCAAGTTTGCAAATTACCAAACAGAAATGACAGCAATCAATAACAGTGAGAACAAGTACAACACAAAGGAACAGCGGTGCGCATATGTTTCTGCTTCCGAAGCACCTCTTCAGGAGCCTTTGTGTTGGGAACAGTGTTGTGTGTTATGACACAAAGGGGACCTTTCCTTTCTTTGATATTTTGGAAGTGGAAACGGCAAGATAGAAGGAGGCTGGGGGACTCCATTCATTTCATCCATTTATTTCAATTGTACAATGCTTTTTCCCCCACCCGCTGGATGCTACTCCAGGTTGTGTGTGTGCCGGAGATCTACTGGCACAGGACTTGATGCACTGCCATTTAGTATGGGACTTCTTTGTAATCTGGCGTCTGGTACCAGGTCTCACACTCCTGAGCACCCACTATTCAATTCAACAAACAAGTACGGCATCTTGTTGAGATTTAGCAGCCATGATTCGCTGTTCGGTGATCCACAAGAAGAAGACAAGGAAGACCATGAGAAATGCCAGTTGTTCACTTGGGGCGCTCACAAGACTGTGCATTGGCTGTATAAGACAACAGGACCTGAAAGTTGCTCCATGACACACTTTTCGCATCAAGTCTCCCCCCAAACCCCCCTCCCCTCGCTCCCTGGGCATAGTGTGCTGCTTACAATAACACGCCGAGCTGGACTCCCATGTGTTCCATGGGTCAGTCATGAGCTTCGTCGCCATCTTGTAGTACACATGCCTGTACTGCGCGTCATACTGCAGGCTGTCGGACATGAGGTACTCGTTGACCTGGCTGCTGCACAGCAGGCGTCGGACCTTGGGGCCGATCACCCCCTCCTTGTCTGCATACAGTGCCTGCCTCAGGATTTGCTTAAACTCCCGGATGCTGATCATGCCGTGGCACAGCTGCGTCGCCTTGAGTGCTGGTACAAGAACCTTCAGCACGCACTGGCAGAAAAGTAATACGCTGACGTCAATGGAAAGTTCAGTGGTAAAACAGCAGAAACAAGTTTCTCCAAGGCCAACAAAGATCTGCCCCAAAACAGTCAAGGTACAGGGGTTATGCGAATGAGTACTGGTTCAATGGTATTTTTCAAGTATGAAGGAATGTGCCGACACTTTGTGATCCACCATGGGAAGCTCCGCAGATCAACATATAAACACTGCGAACATAAGTTGCCCAAGACTGATAGCAAACTTGTTGGGGCAGTCCATCAGTGGGCTGCCAGTCTGGCAAAAATAGACTTGAGCCTTCTGAGGTTGGATGCCCCTGCTGACAGACCAAGAACACACGGCATGCGAATGAACACCCTGATGCAAAATGCCTTTCCAACGCCATGTCCTACGTTACAGAACCCAACACCACCACAATTTCCTGCTCAACAGGGGAGCGCCCCCTGCATGTCACGTTTCCTTGCTCCCAAAAAGACAGCCTTGCTCCCATCGCGGCGCCCGTAAACCCCACCCACAACTGCCCCTTTTTCTCTCAGATCAGCTTCTGCGCAACTGCCATGGATCAATCCCCCATCCGTCTTCACGCAGGAATCAATTCCCTCCTCCCTCCCTTTGGACCAATTTCGGCGCAACGCGCCCCCGAGCTCACTCTGTCGTCTGCCACCTCGTAGCCCAGCGCCACGGCCACATCCCGTGGCGTGTAGTCCAGCTCCGCCCGCCTCACCCGCCCCGTCCGCTCTCTGAATTCCTGCCGCCTCAGCTGCTGCTGGTACCGCACGCCCAGCGCTGTGCAGCACCGCCTCATCGCCGCCGACCAGTAATCCAGCTTGGGGTCGTACCATCCCTCGGCGACCCCGGACACGCCCAGCTCCAGGGCCTCCCCATCGGCAACCTCCGCCAGATCATCGCAATAGGCCCAAAAGCACCCAACCACGAGATCGTCGGCCAGCTGCTCGCGCCAGAGGGCCAGGCGCTGGTCGCTGGCCTTGGCCGGGCGGGTGGCCCACAGAAAGCCGAAGAAGCTCGCGGCGATGAGCGACACTGAGGGGTAGAAGTAGTAGACGTCGAGCGAGGGGGGGGCGCGCAGGGGGCGCAGGCCGCTGCGGGTGGTCAGCCAGGCCTGCCGGCTCACGTCGCGGCTGCTGGCGCCGGACGCGGCGCGGCTGGTGCCCTCCTGCATAGGGCCCGAACTGCCGAATGGCCGTTCGGGGCGTGTGCCGGGGGTTGGATTTTGCTCCTTCGGAAACCCTTGTCGATTGTTTGGGGTGGCTTCTGTTGGCGAGGGTGTGGGGAAAGTTCCCCGCAGGTGGAGTGATAGTGACGGCGACCCTGCCGTCTCCCCCCCTCCATCCACCCACCCCAGTTTTCTCCGTTGGATGCTGAGCATCCCGCTTTGACCGATCCATTCCGGCACCGGCGCGGCGCGAGGGAATCGCCCCGTTGCGACTTCAGGGGGTGAGCCGCGGCGCGCTCGGTGGACAGGCGGGGGTGTCGGCGCGACACTCTTTGGCCGCGCCCCGGCGGACGGCGCCCCGAGACTCACGGAGCCGCGCCGCAGCGGCGGGCTTTCGTGGCCCTCCGCTTTTCGCATTGTCTCCCAGGAGTGGTTTTGTGGAATTCGAGAATGTCCATGGCCATGCTGAGGGCGCCGGGCGCGCGGACGGCGGTGGAAGAACTCGCAGCGCTGTGGACGGCGAGTCGCCACGCCGCCGTCGCGCCCTCTGAGGACCGCGCTTGGGCAGGATCGAAGGGGATCGCTCACGGCGGCGGTTGGGGCGGTTGGCGGCATGTGAATGTCCCGGCGACCTTCAGCTTCGACGACCACGGTGACGATTCTCAGGTGGGGTGATGGCCCGGCGTGCGAGTGCGCCGAATTGGCTGTTGTTTCGGACGATCGCTTGGTAACAAGACTGCTCCTATGCCATGAGGATTCCCACGATGCGGGGAGCATCGTGGGGGATGTATGGGATGCCAAGGAGGACCTGTTCTGCGATCCCAGCCTGGGTGCCTTCATTAAGGACACGCCCGCCGGGAGCTTCCGGTGTTTTGCCGTTTTGGCGGCAATTGGGTGACAAGCGGCCGCCCATTGTGGCCGAGGGCAATGCAATTGGGGGTGGTTGGGGCTGCTGCGGTTTGCGATTGACGAGCGGCTGGCGGTGGTGAAGTGAAGACGATTTGGGCAGCGGAAAGTGTGTTGCAGGCAGGGGCTCCCTGGAGGAAAGAATGGAAGTCAGCAGGGCGAAGGGGCTGCCCTGTCACTGGTTGGTTGAGGCAACCCCATAAAATCACAGATGCTGTGGGCTTAAATCGATAAGCGTTCTCCGTTCGGTGTTTGCGGAATGGACATAGAAGGGAATCCAGCCGCACTTAGAGAATGGAGAAATCGTTGTGCTTCAATGGACATCCCATCCAGCAGAACTGCTGAAGGTCGCAGTTGCTGCTGGGAGATGATGCATGAATCCTTCCAAACGGCCAAAAACGTTCCAATTTGTTCAAGAGTAATGCCCCAATGAACAGATGATTGGAATACATACAATCGGTTCACTGCAGACAGTGTACAGTAAACAGCAAGCGAATTAAGGCCCACAACTGCCATCAATTCCTCGGAAACCCAATTCCTTGATCTGTATGCGTCTTGGATCACAGTGAAATGACCGGACATTCAAGCAGGACTGGCAAATGGGGTCAATGCTGTTTGTTTGCTGTCATCTGTACTTATTGGTACACTGCTGTATTCACAATCTCGCCCTAGTGTGCTTTTTGTATTAACCTGTCCAAAGGGAATCATGAGCCTATTGGCACTGGCACAGTACCACTAAAACCCCCTCTCAATGGTGCCCATTTCCCAATAGCATCCTTTTTTGGCTTGGCATGGTTTCTGTAGTGCATTACGAAGCTCTGCTGTGCGATGGGACCTGGAATCAGTACATTGGACACTCAACTGCACCCAGTAGAGGAGTGCAGTCGACCTGCGACATAGCATGACGCACACACAGCTGAGAAACAGGCCTACATATGATACTAAGTACTGTAGTACTATAGTGTGAGGTGTTCATGGTCACCACATGGTCACATGGTCCACATGGTCCACATGGTCCACATGGTCCATCAGTAAGATGGATTGTGCCAGGCACTGTGGTGTAGGTTTGCATAGGAGTGCATTCACTTCGTTGTGCTTTCGCAAATCATTGGCAAGTCTGTAAGACATTCTGACACACTCTTTAACTCACCGAATGTATCACTCTACTGCAAATTTTCCAAAGAGGCATTCCTATGCTGTGCTATTATGGCACAGGGTATGCAAGTGCGATTGGGTGGTACGGCATCTAAACAGCTGCTATTACTGTCAATGGGCCTTCTGCTATGCAATAAATGATGGGAAGTCTCGTGTGACGGATTATATGGCAGCCAATCGCATTTTGGTTACTTGATGTTTTTGAGCCTGGTTCCCAATAACGACCTGTTTTTGGCCATCAGGTTGAAGGCTTCTGAAGGTACCACTACTGTATGGCATGATATGTTCTCCGCACTAGGCCTGTGACAAGGTACATTGTGCCTGCAACTGTCTTTGTCAGAGCTTCTGATTTCATATGGCTAATTTGGGGATTGCCTGCATCAGGTAAAGGCGGAAACCAACAAAGAAGCAGCTGTAAAGTACACAAGACATGAGATCCAGGAACGGCTGAGTAACCCATCCAAATGGCCTGGGGTGCAGCCATGGAAAATACCCTTCCACAACAACAGGCAGATCCTAATGGTTGCAGATTTCGCTGAGATGCACCTGGTGCAGTCCAAGTATAGGGAGAGCAATGCACGGAAGATTCTGGGCGAGCTGTCCAAGACGTACAAGAAATACCTGCAGAGGCCCAGCACAGACTGCGTTAACACCTCTACTGTGGTCCAGAAATTCGCCCGACTTGTGAGCCTGGCCAACCAGCAGGAGTGGCTTCTGAAGAACCACAGCGATGTTTTGGGCGCCATGTTGCACCACATAGATGCCAACATCGCCAACTTTAGAGCGAGGCAGGTAGCCAACACCGTGAGCGCGCTTGGCAGGCTTGGACCAGGTGTGAGGCTCATACGGACACCGTCTGGCGTGTCCGGCAATGAAATCCTGCAAAAGCTGGTTGCCGCTGCAAAGGCAAACTCTGATTACCTGGGTGATCGGCAGTGGTCAGGCATGCTGGTGGGGCTGGCTGTGCTGTCGCAGCCCACCCAGAGTGAAGCAAGTAATGAAGGTGATGGAGGCGGGAATGGGCGACCTGAGGGGGCCTTGCTGGAGCTGCCAGATCTGCATGACCCCCAGCTCTTGCGTATGGCCAGCAATCGCATTGGCAGTGAAGGGCACTTCTACCAGCCTGCCTCACTGTCTAATTCCCTGTGGGCCATGGCAAAGATGCGCTTCAGTTACTGTGAGCCTGCGGCTGGAGCCATCCTGAGGCGTCTGGCAACCAGTCCTTACGACTTTCACGTTGCAGACGTTGCCCTGATCTTCTGGTCACTGGCCGCTCTGCGCATGGGTCGCATGTGCCAACGGGAGGCATTGGGCATTCAAAAGGGTATGGGGCTGTGCCTGAAGACGATGCAGGACACCTCCACTCAGGATCTAAACTACATTGTTGGAGGTCTCACAGGACTGGCTGTGCCAGATTGCACGCAGCTGTTCGATGCTGTTGTGGAGGAGACTCTTTGCAAAATAGAGTGTCAAAGCCGCTTCACAGATGCTGACATTATCGGGCTGATCTTCAACTTTGCCAGGTACCAATATCGGCCCCCTGACGTGCTTCTGGACAAGGTGTGTGACTACGTGAAGGACAATGTGCAGAAGCTGGAGCCCACTTTCCTGTCGCAGGCCATGTACTTCGTTGCATGCTTTGGCGTAAAAGATGCCTCCCTTATCCAAGCACTCAGGGAGGAGATGGCCGCCAACATGGGCACATCATCGACAGAGGACGCCTCGACATTTGCTTGGTCACTGGCGCTGGTGGACGAGTTGGATCCAGCATTCCTCAAGCTGGTTGCAGATCGTGTGCATACGCAGGGGCTTGGCACAGGGGCTGCTGGCACCAAGCGCAGGGTGCACCAATGCCTCGTTCACCTGCAGCATGTGGCGAAGGTCCACGTACCCCACGACATTGTCCCTGAGGAGCTGGCTTGTGCGGGCAGGGAAGAATGGGATCTGGCCAACAAGAACAAACCTGACATGGTCAGAATCACATCCACACTAAAGGACCTTGGCTATGAGTCACACGCGGAGGTCATCCAGGAGGGACCCATCACAGCCCACGTCTTCACACTGCGGGACGGGACACGGGCTGCCATCGAAGTGCTCCAGCTGTCCCACCTGTGTGTCAACACACAGGCACATGTGCCCAATGTCCACCTCTGGCGGAGGCGCTTTCTGGAGGCCGTTGGATACAAGGTACTCGTGGTTAAGGAGTGGGAGGCGACTGCCATGAGCTTCCGGCAACGCCTGGCAGTGCAGCTGCAGGAACTCCAAAGCCCAGTCGTCCTGCAGGAAAGAGCTGCATCTTTGTCGGAGGGAACAATTTCTTAGCTAACTCCTGTTGAAGGCACATTGCTTGCATGAGCTGACCTATGGCGGGTGTTGGTGTGTTGGGTCTCTTCGATTGCTGTACGTTTGTGCTGATCGGCGGTTGGGGTGTGCTCATGTGTGGGTTGCTTCCTTGTGTGTGTTCCGTGGTATTCAGGCTGCTGCAGGCATGTGACGCTCTGGCAAAAGAGCTAGGATTGTATTAGCACCAACCTCCATGGGGTGGTTGACGGGTTCTTACTTGTAATAGCACCAAGAACATAAGAATGTTAGCTGTGTGCATGTGAGTGTGTGTATTCGTTTAAATGACTTTTGGCAAACAGCAGTTAAACTTACCACTGAAGACCACGCCACCCAAGTGCAGGTCATGATTATGGTGAACCACGAACCTAGGTGCACGCTTTCCATTCAACGCTCCATTGGCAATGAAATCTTCCCGTCCATGTACGGTGCATAAAACTGGAGTCATCTTGCACTGCAAGGAGTGTTGGGCTTGCATGCAACCAGCACTGCTTTGCCGTCCACACTTGCGATGGTTGTGTGGATTTCTGTCTGCAGCAGGGTGACATAACCGCTCAGGCAAAGGTCCACTGGGGTTTCTCGTTCCAAATAATGTGCCTCGTTGGCATTGCCTACCACCCCTGGTCTCGCAGCGCTGGCTCCACAGTCATGGCTTCAGGGTTACTGTTGATTTTCCTCAGCTAGTTTTCGCAATGGCAGCTGATGCGGTGCTGTGTGTCATTCATGGGCCTGGATGCTGGACATGATTGCCCATGCTTGGGCGGTATGGGAAATCTCTGAATCAGCCGGTGCTGACAACATGAAGTCGTTTTGCTTCACGTGGCCACCAAGGAGATGGCAGTAATATTAGTGTCTCCAACACTTTGCTGAAAGTATGCGAAATCTCGTTGGTGTGGTGGTTATTGAAGTTTGTCAACAGGATGTTTGTGCTGGCAAGCATTGGCTAGAACCGTGGATGCTAACATATATATTCCAACGAGGGTGCCACTCTTGCTGGGTTGGCCCACACACAGCAGACACCTGGGAAAGCAATCCACACATCTTCATGATGCCATCCCAAGGCATAAATTTCTCCGTATTGACAAAGGCGGAGACAAGATGCCCCAACTATCTATTCACAAAGGTGGAGACAAGATGCCCCAACTATCTCACATGGCACTAAGCTAATATCGACAGCAAACTATGCGGTGAGCCTCAACATGCTGCAAACTCTGAGTGGAAAGCACTGCAATGTGACAGCAATGGACATGCAAGGTTGCAGCAATACCCCCCTCAATATTTAATACAATGTACTCAAACATAATCTAATCCTCTGGTACAGTCTCCAAGGAGCAGGAGCGCCCCAGACAGCCCTACTCTATGGCCCAAATTACGCCCACGAAATTCTACTTTGCCTGCACCACTGCTTCTGCTGCTTCTGGCACACATTTCTTGCGCTTTCTCCGCGGTCTTTCAAAGCCAGGTCCTGCGAACACACCAAGCACTTTCATCAAACCGCTCCAATCGGCAAGCAGCAGGCACTGCGCAACTAAACGTTTGATGGCTTATCACAGCTGCTCGCTTGTAGTTCAGTAGTACTTTCATTTTTGAGCACGGTTGAGCAAGCGTGGCCATCACCTGCACTGCTGGCAACGCTTGTTCCCCTGTGGGCTGTCATTCGGTTCCAAAGTTCCAGCTTTTTGCTGATGTCTGCGTTCTTGCACTGTTCAAACACCGTTGCCATCTCCATAAGCTCTGTGACCATTCGATTGTGGTACTCCCTCAACGCGTGGAAGTGCTCTGCATGGTGCAAGCACCGAAGCCCCTCACGGTACTTGACCACACGTGGGTGGCACTCCCCTGGCAACATGGAGCATTGGTCTTAGGTTAGCATCATTTGCACATACAAAGCATGGTAAAGTACAGCAAGATGAGCAAAGTATAGCGAATGACTGTGCAATTGAGGAGGTCGCCTGAAAGCGTGTTGCAAAAGATGCCCACAACAATTCAAAGGACTATAACAGCGTTAGAGCAAGCAAAAGAATGAGAAGTGAATCCGATTTGGGGTGGGTGGGGTGGGGTGAGTGCGGGCTAGGGCCCACAAATATGCACTGGTTATCTCGACATGTGTAAGTGTCTCCTTGTAACACCCAAAATAAAATGAAACAAGAACAAGAGGTCCTATCACAATTAACCAAAATTCCTGGGTGCTACAACTGAAGACTCTTGAATCCAAGTCTTCCCAACCATCATGTACCATCACCGTTGTGAGGAGGAAAACAAACTAATACTTGGGAACATGGCAACAGGGGTTCCTCTGTGACATATCTTGACAAAAGGGGGTCCTCTGTGACAAAAGAGGGTTCTCTGCGGGGGTGAATTTGACAAAAGGGTTGGGGGGGGGGGGATGGGGGGGATGGGGGTCTGACCCGCCCCTGTACATTAGACATGTTGCCACACCGGCGTCAGACCAGCTCCAGACCGGCGCCGTACTGGCACTGGTCTAGCGCCAAACCGGACCAAACCGGACTAGGGGCGATCCCTCTGGGAGGGCGCCATGGCGATCGGGGTGTGAAGAGGGGTAGCAGCGATCGGGGCTGTGGGGGAGACCAAGCAGCGATCCGAGCTGCCCGAGAGAGCACGCAGCAATCGGACGGGAGGGAGTCGTAGCGATAGGATTTGCGGGGAAGACCAAGCGGCGATTGGGGTTGCAGTGAGAGCAAGCGGCGATCCAATCACAACAGGAGATGCTGCCCACAACTTTGAATGTTCTAGTGTGATTCTTGTAGTCTGAATGTTCTGTTTGTATGTGGGCTTTCTGAAGGCTGAAGTCTACAACACAAAAGCTTGGTCAGGTGTGGGACACTTGCAGCACTTTGACTTTGTAAGAGTTCTTTGTAAAGTGAAGTCATTGGCAAAATCTAGTTGGAAACTGATCCTTGAGCGTGGAGACCATGAGCTGAGGAAAACCACAATCCAAACAATGGCCAAGCTGCAATTATCGGACTTGTTAGGCCCTAACAAGTCTGATATTGCCAACAATAAAATACGTTGCATACACCTCATTGCATAACAATAGTCACCAACGACCTTGCCCATCGAACACAATCCATCAATCACAAATCTCAACTGTTATCAAACAAATCCATGACCCTTGGACCCATGCGCTGAGCGATCAGTGTGTCTCAATTATCACTTATGGCATGAAACTCACCAAAAGGACACAAAGTATTGTGTTGTGATCTCAAAATAATATGCAAGCATTCTGCTCCATGCATACAGATCCAATGCAAGTCAACTTTATTTCTTGAGTACATGTTCAGAAACTCATGCAACACTCACTCATGTGTGCCACGCAGGCAAGCATGTAGGTTTTGAAATGCCCAGATTGAGCTAAACGTCATGGGAAGCCAATTATTTTAAAAGAATGAAATCTTTAGGCTTACATGCCATCTCTTCAGATTTTGCCCCAAAAGTTATTCCTTAATGACTTTGAAGTGGCAACACAATCATGTCATTGCTTATAATGATTTGTACATTTTATGGAGACCAATTGCATGTGATTGATATACCAAGGGCTGGGGGGGGGGGCATTTAAATGGCATCCGGGTGACACCACAAACCCCTACAACACCCCCAAGAGGGAAATTGACAGAAGGGGGTTCCCTGCGGGGGTGCATTGACAAAAATGGGTCCTCTGTGGGATCGCCCCTAGTAGGACGGGGTTGTCAACTGGCGCCCGTCTGGCAACGCATCTATTGTACGGGGGGGTGGTCAATGGACCCACTTTTGTCAAATGCACTTCCGCAAAGGACCATCTTTTGTCAAGATATCTCACAGAGGAACCCCTTTTGTCATTTTCCCTTAATACTTCCTCCGTACCAAAAAGTTTGGCAGTTATGACTTGGGGCCTTGGAAAACCCCATCACAACATCTTCAATAGCGCTAAAATTTTGACCACATATTTAACTTTGTGTCAATTTTGATCCACCAAATTCTGGATCAATTCGTTAAGTAATGAGGTAGACATGTCCCCCCAATCGTGGGCATGTCAGGACAAATTGTCATGCAAGCCTCAAGGTGGCTCAGAAACACTAGTGCTTGGAGCACTTCGACAGCTAATTTGGACCACTCCAAATGGTCCATCAGAAGTCGTAGATGACTTAAGTTCGAGCATGAGTCATCATTAGTAAATATCGGTCATCGTTACTTCCTCCATCCCAAACAGGATGGCAGTTAGGGGAATTAAGGCAGTCATGGCCTTGGAGAAACCAATCAAGACATTCCTGATAGCGCCCACATTTCGATCAGATATTAAAATTTGTGTGAATCTTGACCGCGAAATTTTAGTTCAGTCGGTCAAGTACTAAGGTAGTTATGGCCCCTCATACACGGGCATGTCGGATCAAATCTCCAGGTGGCCCTAAACGGCCCGTGAGCATGGTGACTTGGGAGCCTTCACTACATAGCGGAGAAGCGACAGCTGCACACAAAGTTCAGCCTGCAGGCTGGAGCAAAGTTGGAGAGGTGCAAGGCGGGACGTCGGCGCTTCCTAAATTATGTAATCGACAAACTTGCCTATCTCTGTGCCACAACGAGACTTGGGCGACATTTGGTCTGACATGCATATCCCTCATTACTTAGCCGCTTGATCCAAAACAATTGGTGGGTCAAAATCGACACAAACTTCATCATTTGGTCACATTTTGGGCGCTCTTGATGATGCTTTGATGGTATTTTCCCAAGGCCACAAATCATAACTGCCAAAGCTTTGGGAACGAGGAAGTAAGTGATTGTGTGATACATGGCGCTTTTATGGTGAACAAGGTGTCAGGCTACGGTACGTGGAGACAATGGAGTCACAGAATGGACATGTCTGCAATGGGTACTATTTGACTGGTACAGCCATCCTGTAATCCTTCTGGTCACTGCTTGTTTTCCATGCCTGGGAGTGACCGTGGGTGTGAGCGTGGTTTCCGTCATAACCGCTGAAAGGATTTCTAATACTTTGTGCTTTCTGAAGCAAAACTAGAGAGGTTGCCCAATGCATGCCTTGTTATTTCCCATCGCAGCTGTGTGCCCCACCTTCAACAAGGAGGCCCCATAACCGCATGACAGGGTTGCCAAAATGGAAATTCTCTTTCCCTCTGAGCAGCTTATCTAGCAGGCCCTCTGCTTCCTCTGTGGCTCCCTCAGGCAAGAATTGCCTCAAGAACTTGCGTTCTGGCTCATTCAGGCACTTGTGCCACCTGCACAACAGGCAACTTGGGCAAGGCTGCATGCAAGATACGTCACTACAAGCCAGGCAGGCACAGGGCAAATAAACCAGGATTGACACAACAAGTTGAGGCCATGCTGGCCTTGTGTAAAATGGTCTGAGGTTGGTAAGCCACCCTGCAAGATAAAGAGCAAACTGCATAGAATTGACAAAGTGGGGCATTGAGCCATGTCCGTGACCCTCTGCTACAGACTGGGTCAGAATTAATCTATCAGGATTTGATGAGCTCCATGAGCTCCCACAAGACTAGCTGCTCTGCTAACCACCCCACTGCAGTGCTGACAAGAGACTGAACTCGAGCCATACTTCCAGTTGAAGGGAATCAAACAAATCAACGTCAACACGATGTTGTTGTGTCCTCATTGAGGAAACTGCAACTCACGTGCCCAGGTTGAGGACGTCATGCAGGCTTCCCAGTTTGAAGAGGTCGGTGGGCACTGTGACCATGACATCACCACCACAGCAGTCCTCCACACCACCAGGCCCCTCTGGTTTCGCCTTGGCCTTCAGCTTCGAGCCTGCATTGATGCATTCGAGCTGTGGTTATGGTTGACAATACATATATTGCAAATATTCCATTAGACAATGCGATCCGAGCCACCTGCAAGGCGGACAGCAGGTAAACATCCTAAAGACGACACCCTTCCCAATACAATATTTAACAGCATAGCACTGTTTCACAATTGCATCTGCTGCCAATGTCAACATGGCAGAGGTGTCAGTCACCAACATCGGCACCACAAGGTTGTCAGTTGCTCAATATCATTGCATTTTCTAGTCCCACCGTCCAGCCAATTTGAATTGAATATCAAATTGTGGAACAAAACAAGGCACATCCACACATCAACTATATGGCTGCCAATCCAAGCACAAGAGCACACCACTGGCACTGATCTCACCGTATCATCTTGATACAACTGCCAAAAGAAGCCTAATAATGCAAATCTGTTGTGCCATTGTGCGTTCTCAACCTGCGCCAGCCTGTGCTGTCCCTGCTGTGTGATGCATGTATCATGTCTTTGGCAGCCAAGCCACATGCTTGCGGCCCTTGAGCATCAGTGTGCACATGAGCACCACGCAGACTATATCTATCCTTGTCACTTCCCACTCATTACCCACTACGAACATGCACCACCAAATCTAAAACACAGCAAACTGTGTTTTTCATCCCACACAGCACCTATTGTTCGCATCACGACCCCTCACCTGACTTGGGCGTGCCAGACTTACGCCCCAACTCTTGTGCTGGTTTGGAACCCTGACTTCCCAACCCTTGGCCCTTCTTTCCCCATCCTGCAGGCACATTTTCTGTCCCTGCAGGTCTCTGGCCCACGTCGTGGCACCCTTCCTTGTTGCCAGCATTGTGCCCCTCCAATGTCAGAACCCCTGCCTGGCAAGGCTGTTGGGTGCATGGAGAAGGTTGTGCCTTGTGCCCCTCCGATTTGTCCACTGGACAGGCAGGCCTCAGCAGCTCAAAAGCTCCCACTTGCTCCTTTCCGACTTCCATCCTGTCAGACTCGGAAAGTGCGGGCGGCGTGTTGGCCACGAGTTTCCCTTGGCCACCCGGAGCATCATCCACACATTGAGCACTACGGGCCGGGGCTGGGGCCTCCTGAGCCAGCAAGGGCACATCAACAGCAGGCCTGAGTCGGTCCTGGAGTTGAATTTGCGCACCTAACCCAGATCGCCACATGCCCATGCTCTTCTTGAGGGGATCCTGGAACCCTGGCTGAGGCTCGCTTGTCCCAGGGTCGCCTGCGACCTTGACTTTCTTCACGGACGGGATGGGCTGAAATTGTGAAGCAAGGGGCGTGGAGAACACGGCAGTTTGCAGCGGGCGCGGCCCTGCTTCCATTTCGCCGTGACCCTCCTTTGTCTCAACTGACTGTCCGATCAAGCCCTTGTCCGCAAAGGTGGCGGGAACCAAAACACCCCGCGGCCCAGGCCTGGCCCCAGCCGCCTGCGCTCTCGGCACTTGTGGGATGTGCATCCCCAGAGAGGCCCCATGCCTCGCTTGTTCCTCTGCCAGGGTCTGGGCTCCACCCGGACCCTGCGTGGCTGATGGAGACGCCAAGGGCACTTGAACGCCCTGGATGGCATTGTTGACGCCCACCAGGGCGGGCCAGAGCTGTGGGTCGCCCTCCTGGGCGCCATCAGCCCTCGAAATTATCCTCAAACCCCGCAGCAGCGACTCAGCCATTCTGGGAGACAGGCCGCCAGGCGCGATGATGGGGCCCGACGCGCGGTGCATGGACCCCTCCTTCTGGCCCTTCGCCGGCTCGTCCCCATCGGATGCCAGCCCACCGCGAACCGCGCGGGCATCCGAAGACGGGCCCGCCGTGGCCTCAGCGCCCCGGTGGTCATCATAGCCGACGGGCAGCGAGCCAAAGCTTGGGCACCCCCTGCCCACGATTTGGACCGGCAGGCCTCCGACGCGGTCTGCGGGTGTGGCGCGCACGGGCTGCACTTGGAGGGGGATGCCGCCGGTCGATTGGGGCCCCCAGACCAGCTGCACGGGGCGCGTCGCCAGCCTTGGGTGGGGCGCCGCGGAGGCCGGCGCCCCTCGTGGATCTTCGTTCATGCCCCGACGCCTGTCGCGGGGCAGCCGCGCCACCCGTCACGCTGCTTGGCGAACCGGGGGTGCCGATCGACACGATCGGCAAGTGCCGCCGATGCCTGGATGAAACAAGGGGTCAGCCAGACCTGTAGGCTCCAGGCTGCGTCGGCTGGCAGCAAGCGGATGGCAACCGGATCTTTTCCGCTTCGAGCGTTCAGAGGAGTGCGGCGGTCCGAACAGCGCGAGGCAGGCGTCAGGAGAGGTTTCAGTCGGCGGGCAGATGCCGAAATGGGGACACGCCAATCGGGGCAGCGGCGCGTGGACACTCGGTCCCAGGAAATTTCCCGCCATGGGGAAATGCCGCATCCGCGGGATACACGCACCGCGCACTTGCCTGCGGGGAAGAGGCGACCGGGGGCGCCGCCGAGCCGCCGCGCTTCACGAGCCGGGACGGCCTGTTGCTCGGCGCCGCGCGGGGTTCCCGCCCCCAGCCCGCGCCTGCCGTCCCGCTCCCCATTTACCCCAATTTGGCCGAATTCGGCCCAGCGACAATGATAAAACACGCAATCCCCCGTTTGCACCCAGCCAGATCCCGCAGCAGGCGCCCAGTCCGCCTGGAAACTCGTGCCGCCGCGGCCGTTGCGCTGCCAGCCAGGTGAGCCCCTCGCGCCGCGGCGACCTCCTCGCGCGGCGCCGGCCCTCCCCGCGGTCCCGGCGGCGGGGCGCGGCGGGGCGGGCCGCTGATCGGGCCCCCTCGCCGGAGTTCGCCGGACTCTTGCGGTCGCGGCATGTTTCTGTCGCGCCGTGCAGCCTGCGCACGGCGCCGTGCCTGGGACGGGAATGCTTGACGAGTCTGCCGCGCAGGTGCGTCGCCGTTGACGGCGCCCATCCTCCCGCAGTTCTCAGCTCAGGTAAGATTGCCGTCCGACCTCGGTGATCGCTCACCCAGGGCGGCTTGCGCCGCTGTGTGCGCCGGCCCGTGCCAGGCCTGCCTTGTGTCCTGATCAGGTCGCCGGAGCGCCGCCAGCTGGGGCCCCTGTTCGGCTGACTGCCGCGCTTTGCTGCCCAGTTTTTCGCGCTCCAAGCTCCGCAAGTGATGCGCCTCTGTGGCCGAATCACTTGCTTGCTGGGTTCCAATTTCGCCCCGCTTCCCCTCCCCGCCTGGGCGCACGCACGAACACAAAAACACACACAAGCTGCCGGAGGGGGTGTCCGTAAGAGCGCCCCTGCCGCGGCTGCTCCTCCCGGTAACCCACGGTGCCATCTTGCTCCTGATTTCGTCGGAGTTGCGCTGCGCGGAGGGGCGCCGCTCTCAGGCATGCGGGCCCCACTCTTGGAGGGGCGTTTCTTTGCGAGGGCCGCCGGAGCGCTGTTTAACTCTCCTCGCTTTCCGTTCTACAAGGGCGCGGCGCGGTGACGCGTGGGCAGGGATCCGGGGACTCCGACGGGCAGCCATGAGGGAACGGGAACGAGAACGGCGCAGTGCTGGAAGGTGCTCACAGTGCCTGCCGCGCACGCCCCGCCGGCCCCCGCCCCCGCCCCCGCCCCTCGCGCCACGCACTCTGCTCCCGCTCCGAGCGTGGCTTCATGCCAGTGTCCCGGCTGTCCTTTGACTGTTTGTGTTGGCCTCACATGTAGCCCACTGGTTGGAGGTGACACCTCTGGAGCTCTTGGAGATTGGGGCGATGGAAGTGGCCTCCTTGCCTGTTGGGGAAATATTTCCTGCACACGAACCGCCGCGCGCAGACACCCACCCACAGACACACACACAGTCTTGCCACTCTCGCACACGCACCAACGCACCCGCAGCGGACATGGCAGCGCGGGAGCCGGGGACGTCTCAAACCAAACCAAGACTGTCATTTGTTTCCCGCTGGGAGTTGTCAATCTGAAACTGGAACGTTGATGTCTGGCGACGGGGGCTGGGCTGGGTGGGAGGAAGGCTGTGCAGATGACGTCACAGCGGGCTGCCGTGTGGGTGGCGGTGGAGCGCTCTCGGGGGACACTCGCGCTCGTAGATTAGAGCTGCTTGCACTCTGGGCGTTGGGGAACTAGGAGTGGAGCACGTGGGCGTGGAGGGGGCTTTGGAGCGTCCGGGGAGATCTGCAGACGTATGGTGGTCTGTTAAGTGCGGATGACTGTGTGGCTTGTCTGAATAGGTGTTTCTGTGCCTGTTGTGTGCCACGTTGCCTCATCACCTGACCTGCCCTGCCCTGCAGCACCCTCATTCAAGAAGTTTGCAGATGACTCCTGGCATATCTGCGCTTTGCTAGCTCTGTTGCATCTTGGTTGCTGATCGCCCTGCTGGCTGGGCATGGCGGTGGAGGCCAATGTGAGCCAGGTGTAGTGCCAGTGCTTGTGTGGACGCCTTGCTCGAGGCTGATGCAGCAATGCGATCTTTCAGGGAGCCTGACATGAGTGGAAGAATTGTCTACGTTGGGAACCTTCCCCTGGATGTGAAGCACAGGGAGCTGGAGGACCTGTTCTACAAGTATGGACGCATCAGGAACGTTGACCTGAAGCTGCCCCCAAGGCCCCCTGGCTTTGCTTTTGTGGAATTCGATGATCCTAGGGACGCCATGGATGCTGTGAGGGGAAGGGACGGATATGAATTTCTTGGCAACAGGATCAGGGTAAGTTTTTGTTGTACAGGTGGAATAATGCTTGGCATGTTTGCTGCTGATTGCCGGGAGAAAATAACTGTTGATTGAAGTATGAAACTCACAATGTAGCAAAGGAAAGTTAAGACTCTTCTTGCTGCAGGCAATTGTTTAGAGTCTTTGGGCGAAGTAAGTCTAAGGAAGAGCATGGAAAATAGGTGTGGGGCAGGAAACAACATATTTGAATGGTGACATTAGGAGTAGGTGGGAATGTTGCAACTTGCCTTACGAAGTACAGTTGTCATTTCATCCACCCTTGCTTGTCTCATGATATATGCGCTGTTGCTTTCAACAACAGCGAAGCTGCTCCGAACAACTGACGGGCAATGCCACTTTCGTGTCCAGAAATGAGTGGGGCCACTCACTGGTGGTCTGATCTCTGGGCACTTGTTGCTGCTGAGCTGTTGGGGGCATTGCAGCTGTTGTGGTTTGTTTGGTTGGTGTTTGGAGCTGGATGACATGGAGTGTCAACCTTAATGTTGCTATATCTTGTCCCTTGCTTGAAGATCATCGAATATGCACTGCCTTGAAATTCACCTCCTCAAAGGGGCCACTGTTCTCCTATCATGTTCTATTCACTTGTATCTGCTGGACGAAGAATTTCACCCAGCTGGCCCCGATGGCCCTCATGGTGCTGGCACAGCAGCGAGTCTCCTGGCCCCTCCTCCCCAAGTAAATGCCAGCACTGGACTTCTTTCATGCAGTGCGCGGAAAGTATCCATCCCTACCCATCTTGTGTTGCAAACAAAATCTGTCTTGCAGTGCTGCCCATCCCCAAATATCCTTTCTGGGCGGATTGCAGTCTTCATGGTTTCCTGTGTACTGCCTGCCTTCAAGCAGTGTCAGGATGCCTGCTGAGGATGTTGTTGGTAGAACACTGTAGTTGTGTTTTGAGTGAATTGGCAGTCTGTTGTTCAATCAACCCTGGAATGATTTCAGATGTCAAGTTTTGATTGCTTACAGCTGCGCTGTTTTCTGCTCTGCCATTTGCTTTGAGATTGTCTGTCTTGTGCATGACCGCAGGTTGAGGTGTCCCACGGTGGTGGCCGTGGCTATTATCGGAGCAGAGGTTCGGCAACCTATGGCATGTCCCGCAGAACTGAGTTTAGGGTCATAGTGACAGGGCTGCCGAACTCATGCTCTTGGCAAGACCTTAAGGATCACATGAGGAAGGCAGGAGATGTCACATTTGCACAGGTGAGTACGCCCACCATGGGCAGCGCCAAGATAGGACTGTGGAGGCAGTGAGAGGGGTTGTGCGCTCTTCAGGCAAGAGCTGTGAGCGGCGCTGCTGGACAGCTAATTGTGAAGGTGGTTGACTATCAGTTGCAAGATCGCTTGCATGATGCTTCAACAGCAACCGTCACAGTGCCTTGCCATTTGGTCAAAGGCTCCCCATGTATGCCATCCAACCCTGACTGGACTTGCTATTGCAATTGAATGTGAAGGCAGATGTTAGGGCCTTGTAGAAACGTTAGTGGATCTGGTTGAGTGTGGTCTCTTGTGTCATGGTGGGGGGTTGGAAGAAGGGGAGGGGGGGGGCTTGGCATTACGCCCCTTGTTGCAGTCATGTTTTTTACTTTTGGTGGAGAACTGCAGTGCTGTGTCTTGTGTAACGTTGTTGTACTCGGTGGCAAGTTGCTGTGCCAAGAGAACACACCTTCCAAGTCACCTTCTGCAGTTTTCTGAAGTATGATGTTTCTTTAAGACGTAACTAAAATCTGAGACAGAACTTGCCCATTCACAAGCAAATGGGGATGAGGAACAACTCCATTGTCCCAAACACGACGAGGAACTTCAGACTCACCGACTTGTGCACATGCTGTGATTCAAACTGCACCGCATTTACAGCAATAATTGGAACAGAATCTGCCTCATTGCCAGTTGAGTTCTTACTTGCCACATCCAACCTTGAGAACACAACAAGTTGCTGCAGCAATACTCACTCTTGAGATGCATTTTTGGGACTGCTGCCTGTGTTTCAAAGCTGTTCACGCACTCCCTTCACAGGTGCTGAGGGACAGGGATGGAATGATGGGTCTTGTGGACTATGCATCACTCGATGACATGAAACATGCCATTCGCAAGCTGGACGACTCTGAATTCCGCAACCCTTTTGACAAGGGGTACATTCGTGTACGGGAGGACCGGGGGGGCCGACGCTCGCCTCCGCGATCACCAGTCTCTGGTGGCAGTCGAAGCTGGTCCAGGAGCCGCAGTCGGTCCAGATCCCGCAGCCGTACTCGCAGCAGGAGCAGGTGTGGCTAACATTGTATGGGCAGGATGTGCCAAGGGGTAATTCAGTTCATGGAAGTAGTTCTGATCACTGGGGATATGGCGTTCTGCCTGTGTTAAGCAGTCCGGATGTGGTTTTGCAAAACTTCTGCTGGACAGAACAGACATCTGTGTACCGCAGCCCCCCTGCTTCCTTGTGCTTGTGTGGCAGCATAGGGATATTGAAAGTTCCCAGCTGCAGCAGTCCTTAGCCATGTTACATGTTGTCGTATGAGTTGCTATTGCTTCGAACAGAGGCCACCCGTGCGTCTGGGGCTACATCTCTTGAAAGATTGCTGTTGCAGAAACGTAATGGCTTTATTTGACAGCTCTCACTCCCAAGGAAAGGGAGTGCGACATAAGCATACAAAAGAAGACCTGATTTGGAAGTTGCCACAATGTCGTGGTGGCCCACAGGGTTGTATGGCAAGTGGTTTGCCAAAGAGTGGGAATTTTTGTCCTGTGTGTTGAGCATGGACTTACCCATCCGTTGGTTCCAAGCTCCGCTTCACGTGTCTTGTGCATTGTGAGCCACCTGTTTACTGCACTTTGGCCTTGCTTGCAATGGATTTCATGGGGAGAGGCAAACAGGCAATGCCAGTCGAACTCTCCTCTACTGCAAGAGCAATTTTTCAGTCTCCACATTCTGCACCATGATGCTACCTGCTGCACATTCTGGTTGTTGGTCGTCAACCATCAGGACGTGGTTCCTGCCGTGGACAATCGGCAGCCTGTTGTTGTAGTTGGCAGCATATCAAGGTCGCCACTGTCTCTCCATCCACAGGGGTAGGGACGTGTCCATGAGCTCACATGGCCGCAGCAAGTCGAGGTCGCGCTCTGTCTCCAGGGGCAGGTCGCCCTCCAAGGACAAGGACGCCCGTAGCCCGTCGCGGTCGGATGGCCACGCCAACGGCAGGCACCGCTCACCAAGCAGGAGCCCCTCACGTTCGCCCGTACGATCTGCAAGCCCAGATCCCAACTCTTGAAGCGCCTGGCTCCTGGCTGCCATAGCTTGCACCCAAACAAGCAGCGAATATGCTGGTAGATTGTGCAGCTACTTGTATTGCTTGTTTACTGAACTGGTTGCACACTCGCCTTGAATTGCATTACATTGTGTTATACACTGGTGCAGTGCTGTGCTATGCGCCTCTGACTTGGGATGGTTGCTGCGGTATGGATCGCATCCATGCACTGTCTGCGCAACAAGGTGCAATCTGGACAGACAATGGCTGTTCTGCCCTCCTGGTCCGCAGCTGGCGTGCAGGGGCTGCTCATGTGCCAGGTATGAAGGGGGGCTGTGGTGATGTCTGTGCGACGAGGGAGTGGGTGTCACAATTGGGCTGGGCAGAGTGGGGGTGTGTGGAACAGTGTTACTGGCGGGACGTATATGCCTCAATGCTTGGATGGTAATCCGTGTAACACAGTCGCAGTACAGTGGCTGTGCGCCTGTTCCCTGCTCCAGGCAATGTGTGAGTCCTGCTGGCATTGGTCTGCGCCCTGAGCGCATGAGCTGGACTTCCGACCGTCCAGGAAATGTGCTCATGCGACGCACGATTGTCTGCACATTTGTCTCTTCACGACCAGCAAGTATGCATCATCGCCCTTGGCTGTGGCTCCCAGGTACGTTGAACGACGTAACCCGCGATTCCTTGTGTCTTGTTCCCTCGTTGAGACTATTGGAACCCGGGTCCATGCCAATGGGACTCCATGGGCATGGGGCAGTGTGCAATTTCATGAGTTCCTGAGCTCTGTCGCCCTCAACCGTGCCACAGCTGGCACAACTTGCCATCTTCTCCCCTTCCCGATGCAACCACAACTACGACAACAAAAACTCCTGTGCGATCCATTTGTTGACACCAAGTCCTGCATCCTTCATTCCTCTGTACTTGGCAATAGTTCATTCGCCACCAGGGGCCGGGGCCGGTTCTGGCTGCTGAGTGGTCACAGCAGCAGGCGGTGGGCTTGCCCCTGGTGGCGTGGGAAATGGGGCGTCGCCTTCCAGCTCTTGCTCCTCCTGTGAACAGGTTGTTCGATTGTCAGTCTCGTCACGAGATTCTCGTGTCGGATCATTTCGCGAACCTGCTGACCCTCGCATCCACAACGTGCGCTTATGCCGAATGGGCTGGACAGTGCACTGTTCCCTGTGTGTCCAGCCACTGTGACAGCTGGGCGGCGTGGGCAACGGTTGGACGGTCGTATGAGGGTTTGGCCTTCTGCTTTCGTCTCAAGCAAATGGCTGAACTATCTCAATGAATGGCGCTGTGGCTCTGCGCTGGCAGGGGGAGCGGTCGCACAACTTGACAGAGAATGCGATCGATTCTCCCCTGAAGTCAGCACACTGGAGCATAGCAACAGACTTTGCATCAAGAGACTGGTGCGCGAAACTCGAGCAGTTTTACGAATCTGGGACCGTATGTGGGATTTTCTCCAGCCACGTGCATCTTCCCTTGCTTTATTTCCTGGGGGCGAGGAGAGTGCGAGAGGCAGAGGGCAGCGCGTTTCGGCTTGGCCCACGCCAGCCATCTCCGCTGCACACGCAACCCCAGAGCCGCGCCCGCATGTCCAAACCATCCATTAGTTCTACCACTTGGGGCTTCGTGTCCACCGGCCCAAACCTCCACTCCCATTGGGCCAAGAGCCGTCTCAGCAGAAGGATGCCCATATGCTTGCTCTGGCGTGTGTTCGCAATTCAGTCTCATTCACACGAGGGCACAGTGCAGGCAGCAAGGCAGCAGGGAATGAATATGCGAATCGACAAGCTCCCACACCTGAGTGGTGCATGGGCTCTTGCATGTTACGTAACAATCTGGAATCAGGACAAACCTCCCGCACCTTTGCCGTGATTGATCCAACCACCACTTTGCTGAGATCGCCGGACAGCGCGCCGTCGTTCCACTCCTCCTCCGCCTTGATCAGGTCACGCAGCCGCTGGTTTATCTCCCTCTGCTCCACCATGGACGCCTCCGCTTCGTCCAGCTCCTGCCTGCATCGGAATGCCAGTCACATGTTCAGCGAGTGCGCATAGGAAACTATTTCATGCAAGTGGGCGAAACTTCACCCTACTATCCTGTGCTGAGCTGCTGCTGTTTGTATAATGATAGTTCTGAGCCAATGACAAAAGTGGCCGGAAGGGTGCTGTTCGCATAGCCACATGTGATTGCATTGTTTGGGCTCAAATTTCAACTGGAAATTGAACTTTGAAAATTAATGGAGCGCATTATGTTGATTTAGCTGCGCTTAGCGTCAAACCGAAGTGAAGATCTGAGCCCCACCCACCGCCCCCCTTTTCTTGCCTCGTGCTGCTTGTGCCATGTGCTGATCTTCGTGCACTTGTAGATTCCCTATCACTTTTCCACAGTATGTAACATAGCATCGCGCACACTTGTTTGGGAAGGGTAACGTTTGGTTCGTTTCTCGATGCTTCACAAGTGGTACCCCACCCCCATCCCTTCCTCCCCTCCAGTCAATATGTGTGTCGATGGCTGCATTGCTCAGCATCGCAACCTCACTATGGGGGTGCAATACCAAGGGACACTCAAATGCTAGGCTCTGGGCCTATTTTCTAGTGCAAAGCGGAAAGCAAACGCTAACAGTAGAGTGTGTGCGACACTGCTGCTGGTGGGGCTGCTCTCGCCTTGCGAAATTGAACAAACGTCATAGAGGTCTTGGTGGAGAGTAGCTATTAAGAATGTGCATACAATGCATTGCATAGACAAAAACAACCCCCAAGGCTGCAAAACAGTCCCGACTGGGATTGCTGATGTTGAATCAGATCACCAAGAGTCAAATGGCTGTGCGATGCTGGACGGTGGGGCAGTCATTGTTTTCAATATCACAGCAACGCAACTCGCTGGTTGGCCATTTCCATCGGCCTTGCGACTCAATTATATCACTTCCTCCTCATCTGTGCAGATTCATGTGCAGCTCCATTGGCTGATTGCTTCGTCATCTTACAACAGCCGCAGAAAGAAACGACGGCCTCAATGAACCACTAAGACGTATAAATGCGGCCATCGGCCGCGTGCTCCCTGCCTGGCCGCCTGCAGATCTGCCAGCGCGGACTTCCTGCGCTGATCGGCCTTGCCCGTCGCGTTCCTGGCGTCGATGAGCTTTGGGTGCAGCCTCTTGCGCATGTCCGACGCCTCCAATGCCACCTCCAACTTGGCAGCCTCGACCTACACAACGCTCGTTACTCCCAGCGAAGCCAACGGGACTTGCGAGAGCTCGCTGGAGCGCAGCCGCGGGAGGGGATTTGGCGCAGACATCGAAAACGGTTTTATTCACTGGCGTGCCGTTCTATCCATCGATTATTCAGACCCGGAGGCGCAGTGTCGGGGCTCGCAGAATTCTGCCTCGACGCCATCATTATGGCATCAACGGAATTGATTTGCCGTTACATGCAAGAAGAGCCGTACGAGAATCGCCGCTTAACGCATTATATGTACTAGCAATGCTGCTGCCACCAATGCTGCTAGATCCAGGCTAACTCTGGATCAGCCCAATGGGAGCATTGGGCTGAACTGGCTATTGCCCGACCTCGCCAGGGTGCCAAGATGCATCGGCAACGACGGCCGCTATCAGTTTCTGTTTCTGGGCGCGGATCGCCAGCTTGACAACAATAATATTCATCGCCTCACAAGTGCGAAGTATTTTCCGATATGGACAAAATGTGCCAAAATGGGTCCTAATGCATTCAGCGCAGCAAACAAAACAGCAATTTGCTGCTGATTCAGGCTTGCAGCTAGTTGTGAGCTCGGTTGGCCTAGCATCAGCGTGAATAGTATCTAGTCCAGGGAATGTGTGCAGGGTGACGCGAATTTGTCAGCAGCACGGCAGAGAGTTTGAAGTACCCGTCGCACCCTCTACCTCGGCCTGGAGCCGCAAGGAAGCCTCCGCCAGCCTCTTCCGCAGCGACACATTTTCTCCCGCGCATTGCACTGCACTGTCCAGGGCCGCGTCCATGTGACTCTGAACATGACAGCGGGCCACACCATCGTTACCGGCATGTCGCCCCAAAAGAAGGCTGGCTGCACTGCTCAAGTGATGCGCTGGTGCAACTTCTCATGAAACAGTCTTGATGTCAGCCCCTGTGGGACCACCACATCATGCATTTTAGCTCTCTCATCCGCCTCGATCTGCACTGAGTCTCTGTGGCCTGAAGGCGACTATCAGGGTGTTGGAGTGCCCCAACTTTGAGAACAACCCGTAAAGCTTCACGGGTTCGCCTCCAAATCACACGGCAGATCGATCTGCTGCGGGGGAAGGCAGTTCCGTGCGTACGCTGCTAATTGTGCGCTTGTCGGCTGTGTGAAGCAGTATTCCACGGTAAAAGACAGAAATTGCGAAGGTGGAACGGGGTGTCATCGCCTCTCTTACGCAGAAACTGTGTTGCTCCAAGCACGCGATAGGCGGAGTTGCAGGTGTCCTCGTGAAACAGCCATCTGCTGGCCTTTGATCATCCACGCTTTTCTGGCCTTACCACTGAATTCACCTAACTTTTTACTTGGCTACGTGGAATGGGTTGGCAATCAAACTGTACGGCTTTGACATAGAATAGGTTTATATCACACTCGCATTCGAAGCATTCCAGCTGAGGGGATCCTTTCCCCGATTGAAATACACACCGGACCTATGCACGCAGGTTGCCTTAAACCAACGCCTCGGTGCTTCTAGTCTCCACAACCTCCCCAAAGTCAAACGTGCGTGTTTGCTTTCAGGGAATTTGTGGAAAATCAAAGAGAATACTCATTTGTGGGTGGGGGGGGGGATTAAAGCAATGTAGTACACTGAGGATACAGCCGGAGAGCTCCCTGAACAGCGCCCGTGAGCCAACACCATCCCGTCCTGGGGCTTTGCACGCTGTCTTTAGTACACAATGCTTCACTGTTGCTCAGTGGGAACTGAAACCAGTGCAGTACTTCTCCATGCCTTCGGGCGGGGAGTCCACCCTAGCCCAGCCTAGCCCAGCCGTGTAAGCCATCACTGGGACATAGGAATCCAAAACTTTTCAACAATAAGCAATGCTTATTAAGCATGACTGCTCGCTCACTGATCACGAGTGTGAAGTGGGTGGTGCCCGACACCATCGCAACCTGGCACATGGCCAAATCCCGCACATCGTACTGGCCGCCTCCAGAAACTCGCCAGCCAGTCCTGTCGACACTGGAGGCCTTTGCGCTTTTCGCAGGCGGTGTGGCAATTCCACCGCCCGATGTGCAGCCGGTCACCGCCGCCGGGAGGGTCGCCGTTGGTGACCGTTGGTGGCTCACCAACGGCGGCAAATTGAGCGCGGTTGGCAAACACCAACGGAAGGCCATGCACTGCGGCCTAATCGCGCACATGAGTGGACTGGCAACTGCGCGGGCCATTTCCCCTTGGCCACAGCATGGCGACAACAGGCGGCACCGGCCCTAATTTGCCAGCATGTCGCTCGGCCAAATTGTCATTGGCACCATCCGAATCCCTGTGGTACCTCCGCCGTGCGCAAACGCCCGTCCCATTATTCACGCGTCCAAAATCCGAGATTCGTCCACAACGTCGACGCCCAGTACAGTACATTTCGGCGGACGAGTCCGTGGGGCCGCGGCCCTGTGCGCCAATCCGGGTGCCAGGGCTGGTGGGCCCGTTGTCCCCACCGAACCCCCCTCCAATTCATTCCCGATCGGGCTTCTCCCCTAGAGCCTCCTCGGCCCTCCCCCCGGCCTCCCCTCCGTGGCGGCGGCGCAGCCATGGCCGGCAGGCGGCCGAAGGTCATGGAGGCGCATGTCGGCCTGAAGCTGTTCCGGGTGGCTGGGCTCATCATCACCTTCATCGGCTGGGTCGTCACCATCTGGGGGCTGGTGCGCGTGGCAGAGGATTTGGAGGATGTGTGCAACGGGCGGCAGTGCGACGAGCTGGACGTGTACTGGTCCTACCTGGTGTACCAAATCTTTGTGTTGCTGTGCGTGGGCGTGGCGGAGTGGTTTGGGGCCCCTGAGTTCACGGTGCTGTCCCTGCTGGGCCTGTGCATGGTGGCCTCCACGGTGGACCAGTGGGCCGCGGACATCTTCCGCACGGGCGTGGAGTGCGGCGAGCTGGCGTTCGCGGGCTGGGCGGTCATGGCGGCGGGCAACATCGTGATGATAATCGGCCTGGGGTACAAGAAGGTGGAAGAGCTGAAGACGGGGGTCGGTCGGTCCAACCTGTTCTTGGGCCAGAGCGGGTCCGGCGCTGTAAGGGGCGAGCCGCTGATCGTGGGAGGGGGCGCGGGGGCCGCCGCGGAGGCGGGCGCCGCAGGGGCCAACCAGCCGCCGGTGTACGAGGACCTGCCCACGGACTTCTCCGTCGGTCTGTGGGTGTATCCCGTGCTCGGGGTGCTGTCGCTGGGGTCGCTGACCCTGTCCGTGGCCAGCGCGCGGAAGTGGTGCGAGGACTTCGACTGCGAGCCGCTGAAGTTCTACTGGTGGATCGTGGCTCTGGAGGGCGTTGTGCTGCTGTTCGTGTTCGTTATGCGGCTGCTGGGCCGGCTGACGCCCTGGACGCAGGCGGCCACCTTCCTGCTGGCCATGCCCACGACCTTCCTGGCCATCTGGGCGCAGAACTTCTTCCACCTGGCGCGGGAGGACTTCCCAGACAAGGCCTCCCTGCGTGGGGCGGCCGTGGGCACCCTGCTGCTGGCCGTCTCCAACTACCTGCTGGCCTTCACTTTGGGCTTCCACATGAGCACCAGGGTGCTGCGCAAGCCGCCGTTCTGGGCCAGTCAGGTGCGCGTGATAATGGTCGCGCTGGGCATCGCGGGCTGGGTGATCGCCCTCATCGGCGTGACCAGGAGCCAGGAGTACCTGTGCAGCGACAACCAGGACGCCTTCGACGACGACCTGATGTGCGACAAGTTCCGCCTCTACTGGTGGTTCTTCAGCCTGGAAGCCGCTGTGCTGATCATGTTCTTCGTCGGCCTGTTCCTGCACCTCAAGGCGGGCTGGACGGCCGTGACGCTCACCTTCGCGGCGGTGGCGGCAATCTGGCCCCTCCTCGTTGCCGACGAGTTCAGGGTGTTCCCGGCTGTGACCGCGGGCGACAGGGACCAACGGGCCTATCAGGGGCACCTCATCATGTCGGTTGCCTTCCTGGCGCTGGTGTCCGTGGAGTTGTTTTAGGGCGAGCACGTCGTCCGTGGAAGAGAATTTTGATGAAGGTAGCTGTGGGCAAGCGCTGCGTGGGCCTGGATGCCTTGGAGGAGGGAACCGTCGCCCTGTGATGGACGGGTGGGGGGTGGCGTTCTGATGACGGTGGCATGTGCACGATGGCCTTTGAGGCAGCAAGAGAGAGCTGTAGTGGGTGGGAAGGGCTGGGTCTTGAGCTTTCGAGTGGGCATTTTGGGTTTCCCTTCAACGGTGAGGGCTGCTGCTAGGTTGCTGCTGGGCTGCTGCAGGCAGCATCTTTGAGTTGTCTTTGCTATGGTGCTGCTGCGGACTGAAGGCAGTCCTTGTCCCAGCAGCATCAAAGCGAAATGAATATCAAGCATAGGCACTGAACTAGCTGACCAGTGGCTTAGCGTAGGGCGTGCACGGTTGGGGCCAAGGTTGTACATCATCAAGTGCCTCGTTGGCTGGAGGCGACCACCCCAGCGAGTGTACAATTTAGACTTGCCCAAACGCTTTTGTGAATGGAATGTTGGTGTGAACCTCTGGAATTCCGCTGCTGTGTCTTATGCATAAAGCGAATGCTGTCAAAGGAGCCAGGCAGGTTCGGGGGCAAGATGGCCTGCACAAAAGTGGGACTGCAGGATGGCATCCATTCAAGGTTGAGTGTGTGAATCGTATGGCACAACAGTTGTAATTGTTTTCCCAGTTGTTTTGAACGTCGGCTTCTTGGCACCACCAGATCGCCTCTCTGTGTGTACTGTGGGACTGCCACTGCGGTTTGCAACGTCCTGGCCTGCAATGACAGGCTTTCCAGGGAAAGTCAGGCCGCCAGCGTGCCCCAAACGTTCCCACTGCTGCTGGCGACAAAGAGAGGCAACGACAAAGTAACGACAGATGCCGAAATTGCATTGCTGATTTGTTGTCAACTCATTTGGTGATACAGCTTCCAAAACAACGATCGCCTCCAAATGTGGGGGGATGCAGCTAAGAATCTCATCATTGGGACTATTTCCACCCCTGAGTATATAGCGCAAACAATATCTGTTCGTGACACGTAGCGCCAGTACGTGTCTCTTGTATTTTCGTGATTGACACGCAAGATAACATATCAATTATGCCAAAATACATAAATAGACGAATACACAAATACGTAAATACGTAAATACATAAATATGTGAATAAGTAAATACGTGAATACATCAAGAATCGGCTGAAACAAATGCTTTCGAAAACAGCTCCATGGCAGTGCCCCATTTCGCGGCAGTCCTTGGCCCACCTTCACGTCGCTTAGAAAACGCTTGTACGTCGGGAAAGACTGTATGAACAGGTCAAACACCTGCCGGTGGGCTTCGAACGTCATGTTCTGCGCCACCTTGGGGTCCCTCGTGCCCACCCGCCCCGAAGCCGCCATCAGCTCGCATTCCCTCAACTTTGAGGCGAGCGTGTCACGCAGGTGGTGCAGAAGCCTTGGGTGCCTGCTGCGAATTCTGGGGAAGACCTGCGCGGTTGGAATGCCGTTGTTGCAGATTTGCCTTGCTAAAATGACAGATGAACGAAATATCATCTGCGGGCGACCTTTCTATGATGACATCAAAAAGGCCACCTGGGAGCATCTGCTCGACAGCATTGTTCACGAACTGGTCGCAATTCGCCTGCGCCGCAAGGGGGCACAGAACGCCACTTTCACCGGCGCCGAGGTTCTTAATGGATCGTGGCTTTGTTCAAGGCTGCTGCAATTGCGTGGAGCCCTCGTGACCGGCGCATTTCTCTGCATGATACACCAACGACTCGAATTTTTGACACGCCACCCACAGCTTGGTCCGCCTCGCGGTGCAAGGAGGAATGCCGCTACAGTTCCCAAGTTATGGCGCGTTGGCATTCCACACCGTGCACCGAGAGCCACAATGCGCACGTGGTCATTGCATCCACGGACGCAATAGTCTACGCGCGTCTGCTGCTTGCTGCTGTCTCAGATACCTCGATATGGCCCGGCAGGAACGTGCGTGCATTCACGCGCCAATTGCCCGTGCGGCCAAGCAGCGGTCCCTCCATGCAGGCCTGCGTCTCGGATGCCGCATGTGCAAACAACTTGGATGACGTCAAGCCCTTTCTCATGTCAGATATTTTCCTGGCGCCGCAAAATGTGGTGATTAAGTGGAAGCATCAGGGCCGCAGTGCGGATCTGCACTAGCCGCGCAAGTGCCTGCTACTACTCATGCATGGCAGCCATGGGCAGGCACCGCAGCTACAACGCCCCATTGAGGCAGCCCGTTAGCTATTGTGCATTCGAGATGTGCACATATTCATACCGTGAAATTTTTCTATGACAGACCACGGCAAAAATGCCACAAATATCTTGCGCAGTGGTGTCCAGGAAAATCTGCTGCTTGTGAGTTGTATTTCCATCTCTGACATGCGCAACATACGTGATTTGCATACCGGCCGATTTGAATACTGCCAGGCGGTGACGTTGGCCAAATCCATTGCGTTGCTTCGAGTTTGTGGTTCAATGTGAACGCTTGTTCCAGACAATTTGTCGCAGCAATGTGGATCAACATTTACATGGCATCATGGCCCTCACGTTTGTTTAGATTGCAATAACGCACAACCACTGCCGAGTCAAAATTTACAAGGTAGCTTGATTCCGGACGCAGCTGCAAACATAGTGCGTGTCTAACCTGTTGGATGTGCGTGGGGTTTTGAGCCTCGTACAACCGTTGCTCAATTTCCATTTCACACAATGTGGATTTGTGTTCAAAAAAACATAAAGCTGCTGTAAGCGATGCATTTGGTCTATGCCCTATGCTGATGCGGCATCAGATAGTGAACACCGCACTACGATTAGGACTGAAGATGGAATCGACACACTTGTATTCTTTTCTCTCCCATATTCTCCCCAGTGCCGTCTATTCCCCTGTCGCTGTTCTCACTCTGTGTGAGCGAAATTTGGATCTGGCGTCAGCTTCCTCCTGGGTTCCGGTGTGCCCTGAGTGCCGCATTCATTGCTGGAGGGCGATTGAGCCCCCGAACGTTCCAAGGCGCTGGGGCTCTCCACCGCCATGTTTGCTTTGAGTTCTCTAGCTCCCCTTGCCTTTACGACGTGGGCGCATCCTTGGAAACTGTGGGCGGGAACTATGGAGAATTTATCCAACTGGCTTTGCTGTTGTTGCGCCCACAGTGCAGTCAACACGGGCGTCACGCGGTCGTCGGAATGCAAAAGGCAAAGCAGCCCCAATATGAAATTAGTCACGAACGAATGCTGGACGCCTTTTTTCCATGAAGCCACATTGCCGAATGTATTTTCTGATGCAAATAGCGAGCTCGAGCTCCAGGCATCGATATGTAGTACTTGTGGAACGCATTCGCAGAGCTTGAAAGGCGCAAGAATCAAAAATTGGACTTCTTGTCATCCTATGTACAATGTGCGATGTACGTGCACAACTGGTGACACGCCATGACAAGTTGTAAAAAGTTGCCGGCCAGTCGTTAAGATACGGTAACGATCATTACCGTATCTTCACGAATGGCGGTAACTTTTTTAGAAGTTTTTTTAGAAGGTTTCACCCAATCGCTACGATCCGCTATCAACAACCAAGTATGTAAACATCTGTCTTCACGCGGGTTGATCGCGGGTCACTATTCACGTAGGCTTCCACGCCAAGGGTCTTCTGCACTGACACGAATCCCAGAGCACCCAAGACAGCATGCCAAGTGATTTAGCGTATCTGTTTAGTGCCATTCTTCCCCACGTTTGGCTTTTGGGCAAGGAGGTGTCTGCCTGCTTACACTGGAGCAGATTAATAGAATACAGAACGGGGATCGTGCACATTATACCAATATCAAGCAAAATTTTGACATGAGCTATGGTTTTGATGAACCAAAGTTGTAATATTGGATTCATTCGGGATCGTCGTGGACATGTGCTATTCTCAATATGTAGCGCCTTTGAAAGGCGGAGATCTTCGTTGCAACCAAGCATTGAATTTGGCCAGAACCCTATATTGTCGAAACGTCAGAATTGTATGTTTGGAATGCCTTAGTATTGCCCTGCGAGTCTCAGATCATGGAAAATATTTCCCCTTTGAAAACACTGCTGAGGAAGCCGAACAAATAGAAGCACCGAGGAAATCAAGTAAGCAATTCGCAATGTCGGTTGTTGTACGACAGGGAATTTTGCGGCACGTCATCTGGGCTGCTGCAAAGCTCGTCCGAGGCTTTGGATTGCTATTTGTTTCGTTTGTTCATCACCTGCCCGACATGCGACGGCAATGTTTGAACGGCGATCGCTCACAGTGCCAGCCAAGGGCACCGCCCTTGGGCCCACGGCGCCGACCGAGCGGCGGCCTCGCCCGCAGCCATGGTGCCCAAGCCCACGCCCTACCACCTGAAGCTCTTCATGTCAAACAAGTACACCTACGCGCAGGTGCTGCGGGTGCTGGACGGCCACATCGTGGCGTCGGCGTCCACGCACGAGCGATCCACTCGCGCGGCGCTGGAGGGACAGCCCAAGGCGGACAAGGCCGCCAGCGCGCTCGTGGGGAGGCTGATCGCCGAAAGGGCGCGGGCGCTGGGGATCGCCGCCGTGCACTTCAAGCTGGCGGAGGGCAAGAAGTACCACGGGAAGATCAAGGAGCTGGTGGAGGCGATGAAGGCGAATGGTGTGGGGCTGTGCTGACATTGGCTGGGGCGGGGCGGGGGGAAGGGAAGGTGAAGGAAGGGTTGTTCGTACTGGGGAGTTGGGTGGGGGTTCCAGGGAAGGGGAGGGTCTGCGAGATGTGTTTTGGAGGGTTTTAATTGTGCTGGAGAGGAGCTGAATCCTTCAGCTTCAGCTGGGATTGGATTCGTTACTGGCGATGCGAAACTGCGCTGGGTGGTCGTGGGAGCTGAAGGGTTCGCTCCCGAGTTTTGGGCTGTTCGAGGTGTCGCCCGTTGAAGGCCCAGCAAAACAGTGAAGATTGATGAAGATTGATCAATGGGGTCTGATGCATGGCCTTGTGTGGGAACGAGAGTCACGGCTTTTGTCTTTGACGGTCCACCACAGCTTGATCGTCAATCCTTGCCATGTTTGCGGTGTGTGCGGAAGTCCCTTCCAGAGACGGACTGGTGCCATGCCTCCAGAATTGTGAGCGGTCAATGTTTGCCTCAGCAGCCGCTCTTAAATAACTTCAGGATGGAGCGCAGCCAGCAACTGCTACCCAACACTCTCCAGGCGAAATTTGTGGAGAGTTTGCAGCGAATCACATTCGTGAACAGCCTACAAAGTGTGGCTTCACCATCAGATCCCATGAAGAAAGCCAAGTTTGCACATCACATTGGACCATTTACTCAACTTGTGCAGAGAACAGATGTACAGTTGGTTCCCTGTGCCAAGATAATGCTGGATCTTGAAACAAAAAGATCACTGCGCGCAAGATCAGTGCAGACAATGTACATCAGCCTTCCAGGTAAAAATGCAGTTGAAGGTTGATGTTGAAAGTTTCTTTCAACGAAAGGACAGATATCTGGCAGTGAGGATACCCTTCCCAAGCAAGCATTCTTACATGGCAGAACGTTGGACAAGTCTCAGAGCGTGGCAGCAGGGCACATGACAACAGGTAGGAGAAGCAGCAAGGGGCTCAGGGAAATAACCAACAAGCTAAACAAACAGTGTGCATGGGACTATACCTTCCAGACACAAGGACCTTGTCACGTTTTGCAAACTTAATCAAAGGATTAGAAAGTGACCAAAGCAATCGGACAGCAAATAAAATAGATGTGCTGACAAAAAGATTCAACAAAACCAGCAAGAGAAGTTGTGAAATCTGTACTCGAAGTTGCCCTTCAGCTTCTCTGTAGCCCTTGTGTGAGCTCGTGCAGCGCATGGCCAGTTTTGTTAAGTTGGTGATAAGACCAAAACCAGATCCATTCGCTAGCTAAAGCCTATTGCGCATCCACAGTTCTGAAATTATCTGGCCGTTTGTTTTGGGACAATGGTGTCCTGCAGAGCTCCACTGATCTCTATTTAAGACTGTTGCTGTAGACATGCAGTGTGTTTCTGCCCCATGCATGTAAAGTACAGGAGTGCACGTGTCAAGATTCCATAATTTGGAACATATGGTCTGTTGTGTACATCTGTTATGTATATCTGTTGTGTATGTCTGTTGTGTATGTCTGTTGTGTATGTTGGTCAAAGTGGGAGAGACCAGAGTCGAATTTGCAACACCTCCTGGAACTGTGATATCAGGCCTTGTGCTGATATTTACTCTGATTGTGACTCTTCCATGGATAAAACAGGGCGATTTAACCGGCAAAGCAGTGCTGTCCACCTTTGGCCTCAGTGTTCGTTGGCAACTGCACGTGGATGTTTCAGATGGCCTGCATGTGCTATATGCCATCAAGAAGCACAAACAGCATGAAGGAGTTTCAACTGAGCTGATGCTCGTTTCCATTGATGCCAAATTCCCAGCTGCTGTTCTGTTGGTCAAACAGCAGTACTTTAAGGTCAGCAAGTGCAGGCCCGTTCAGCCTTGGACCACGCATAATTCATTATCCTGAACTTCTTGAGCGAATACGATTGACGCGGAGTATGGTGAAAGTTACAATAAGAGATAGTTGTCTTCCAGCTGAAAAGATGGGCTTGTGTTGCTCACTGACAAAATGAAGGATAAAGCGGAATCTGTCAGGTGAAGCACGAGGGAGCTGGCCCAATAGGAAACTTCAATACAATAGCCGCAAATCATTTCAGAATATCACACAAACATAATTTGAACTAATCCCACAAACACGGGCAATCCGCAAGATCAGCTGCCACCCAAGAGCCGAAGAAAAACAATCACATGTGCGCTGCATAATACGTACGAAATGCCGGAGACCACAGGCGAGGGCAATCGTGGGAACAGCCAGCCAGCATGGGACCGACACTGTTTGCGACGTTCCTTCCCGGCCGCTGCTTGGCATCCAGGAAGGCGATCGACATCGCCTATCGCATGCCCTCGCGGGCATAATTCCCGTCGAAAGAAAAGAAAAAAAAAAAAAAAAAACGATACCGACTCAAAAATGCTCCACCCAACAAGTCACGTTCCAGAACGGAGGGGGCCGTGGGGACGCCCGCCCTGTTCGCGATGATTGTGCCCGTTCGCTGCTTCACTTGCGGCAAAGTGATCGGCAACAAGTGGGACACGTACCTGGACCTGCTGCAGGCGGAGTACACGGAGGGCCAGGCGCTGGACGCCCTGGGCCTCAAGCGGTACTGCTGCCGCCGGATGCTGATGACCCATGTGGACCTGATCGAGAAGCTGTTGAATTACAACTCGCTGGAGCGCGAGGCGGAGGGCGGGGAGGACGCTGACCTGGAACTCGGTGGGCCGTAGCGGCGACGGGAGCGTGAGGCGTAGTGGAGTGGGGAGGTTGTCTGGAATGCAGTTGCCAAATCGTTTGACCACAAGGTGCTGCATTTGTTCGCGGTTGCGAGCGTGGCTCTGTCGCCATCTGGTCCACCATGGGGCAGAGAGGGTGGTGAGGAAACGCAGTTCGGCGTGACCGAAGGCGTCAGACGGAGCGGAGTGGGTGGCGAGCCCGCGACAACAACAACAACATGACAAGTGCACATCAACCTGTTGGTCGGAGGGCCAGTTGTGTGTCTGGCTTTGGTACAGGATGGACCTGGAACCCATGCAGATAGAACTATGCCTGAGGGCTACTACCATCTTTGAATGGGAGCTGATGTGAGTTCCGCTGGGTCTTTTGGGGAGCGCTGCTTCTTTGCAGGCGTTCAATTGTTGCTGAAGGACAGCCTACTTGCAAATTGAAGATTCCGTCCTGGATCGTGTGTCTTGTGGTGGAAGGAAGGAAAGGACCAGACAGCATGCTGGTGGGCAGTAATGGGGGAGGAGATTAAATTTTGTGGCTGCTAGGTGATTTGCGCTGGTGTTCTTGAGAGTGAGACAGAACCAGTGCTTTGGTGTTATGCCTGCCCCCACACTGCAAGCATGGCCTGGGCACTGCGCCCCTCGGTAACGATGCACATTGGTGCACAGGGTTCGTCTGTGGCATGAGGTTTCGTCTGTGGCATGTGAGCTCCTGGTGCTTTGAGACAGTGCTGCAATTTGGTAACAATTGGTGATCCACAGGCATCACGTGGACATAAGATGGGTGCCAGGGTGCTGGCTCTCAATGCATACCCAATGATGAAGCTCTACGAATGATCAGACAAACAGTGAATGGGTGTATTGAGGGCTGACATGGGGCCAGTGCGACAGATCAAGCCAGGCTGAGGGATGGCCTTGCCAACAGATGCCAGCAGCTGGGATTCCAGCAGACGGTGCCAAGCACATTCACCAATGTGGATGGTGGTCATTGGACACGATGTAAAGTGAGGCAACTGTAAGATCCATTCCCTGAGGGGCACAAATCAGCAAACAACTGCATAAAGCCTCAAATTTCTCGAACTGTCCATCTCGGCATCTTTAGCGAGCTCCATTCACAATAGATGCATGATTCAACAGCCAACAGGTTTGTCTCCAAGATGAACGAGCGCAACAGCTCTGGGGTATCCTGCAGCATGCCCACATGCAACCAATGGTGTGGGCGGCGAGGTTAACCACTTGCCAGTAGAACCAACGAGAACTTGAACACAGCACACCAGGTGCATCCCACATTCTTCAACCACTTGGAATACAGGCCTCACTTTTGGACCCAATTGAGAGCTAAAGTATATGTCCTCAGCATGATGCGCGGCTCTCCACGAAGAGGATGTTGCCAGTGCATTTAATGTTCGGTTAATCCATCAGATTGTTCGTCAATCCAACTTCCCATCGCTTACTACGCACTAGAAGGTCACATTATGGTGGCACTGCGTTGGAAGTTGACACTGGAGTGATACATTGAGTGTATAGTACATTTGCAAATAATTTGCGAAAGTACAAGGAAGTTAACGAAAGATAAACATAAATAAGTAAGGGAAATTGACAAAAGAGTGTCCTCTTTGAGATGTCTTGACAAAAGCTCGTCCTCTGTGACAAAATGGGTCCTGTGATCGCCCCCTGTACATTGGACGCGTTGCCAGACTGGCGCCAGTCCACAATGCGGGCGACATCGCAAAGGACCCCCTTTTGTCATTTGCATCCTGGCAGGGACCCCTTTTGTCACTTGCCTTGTTAAGGGTGTTGGGTGTTGGGGCTGCTCGCAATGCCATTTGGAGGACCCCCTGCCCTTGGTAGATCATTTAAATTAGAGCGTGCGATTGGTCTCCATAAAAATATATGAATCATTGTGAGAAATGACCTGATTGTGTCGCGACTTCAAAAACCATTAAAGCGACTTTTGCCACGAAATGTCAGGAGATAGCAGGCGAGCCCAAAGACTTCATTGTATCAAACCATTAGCTTCTCCTGACTTGTAGTTCATTCTGGGCAACCCAAAGCATGCATGCTTAGCTGCATGACAAAAAGGGTGTGAGTCTTGCACTTATTTGGCGACTTTTGTACCGATATTGGAGCTAAATGCCTGCATGTTATTATGATATCCAAGGCAGTACTTTTGTTGTGTTTTGGTGAGTTTCCTGCCATGTTTTGATGATTGATACGCGATGATCGCTTAGTACATGGGTCAGGAAGCTGCAGAATTGTGTGAAAGCGATCATGATTTGTGATTGTTAGGCTGTGGTTGATGGTGAAGGTCGTTGATGACTGCTGCAATGCAGTGAGGTGCATGGAACGTATTTTCCCGGCAAGATCAGACTTGGCAGGGCCTGCCAAGTCCAAGAATGGGAGCTTGGTCATATTTCCGATTGTGTTTTTCACATCTCTGTTGTGAACAACGCTGCCAACGATCTCACTTTACGCACGAGCTCTCGCAGAATCAAGTGCTAGTCGTGTTCCACATCTGGCAAAGCTTGTGTGTTGCAGACTTCGCCATTCAGAAGCCCACACAGAACCAGAACATTCAGACCACAAGAATCGAACCTGAACATTCAAAGCTGTGGGGCGGCATCCCTCTTTGTGATTATATCGACCAAAATGCCCCCAACGAGGAAAATGACAGAAAGGGTTCCTCTTCCGGCCTGCAAATGACAAAGGGGGTCTTTTGTGGGGTCTCCCCCAGTAGGACCGCATTGTGGACAGGTGCCGGTCTGGCGCCGGTCTGACAATGCGACTAACGTACCGGTCAGAGGACCCCTTTTTGTCATTTGCACCCCCGCACAGGACCCCCTTTGGTCACAGAGAAACCCCTTTTGTCATTTTTCCAAATAAAAAAGCCATTCACTTCATTCCAAACCTCCAACAAGGTGTGTGTCGCAATCCGTCCTGTTGCTGGGCATACTGATTTGCACTAAGTTGCACATCCCACGTGCTGAATGCACGGGATAGTGCCACTTTGCATAAGGCAGCCTTGTGCATTACATATTGGCTGTGTGGCAGAACTTGGTGGCGTTGTGGAGTGGTGCTGTGGCAGTGTGGCGGCGTTGTGGCGTGGTGGCAACACAGCACCACTGATTAATGTGACATAGTCGGGGCGATGTGCGCAGCCGCTTTCAACGCTGCTATCCATTGCCAGTGATGGCTGCACGACCAGGGAGGTGTGTCCGGCCTTCCAAATCAGCGATGGTGCCATGTGATAGCCTCATACAGCGTCCAGATGCGTTCCCAACTCTGTGAATGACCACTTAGCAGATCTACCGTACACCGCTGTTGGGTGCGTTTGAGCGTCCAAAATAGTGATTCGAGGTCCCACTGCACAGCAGAGCTGCACAATGTACAACAGTGCCAAGCGAAAAACAGGGCAACATTGGTGGCGGGGATCTATTGAGAGGGCGTTACACAGGCTCCTTAGCGAGTGTCTGCACTCCCAAACTGCGTAGTTTAGGGCGACTTGCGTTCACGAAACTACCGTGTGCAGTAACGGACAACCCCACCAAGCCAACGGCCACGTCTCGTGTGCTCCCCCTCCTTCTGCGGTGCCCGACCCCTCTTTGCGCGTCCTCGCCGGTGCAACGGACAATGGCGGTGCGAAAACGGCCCTGGTCGCATCGTCTCCGCCCCCCGCGGCCGCTCAGCGGCGCAGATGTCCTGAGCGCGTTCGATGTCGCCTCTGCCGCAGGGCATCAATCGCCTGGGGAAGGCGCCACCGAAGCCCGGCCAGCTGCGACCGCCGGACCCCAACAAGTACCGGACGGTGGACATGTTCTCCGAGGGCGCTGAGGGGGACGCGGATTACGTGAGAATGGTCCAAGATGTAGGTGTGGTGAAGTGGGCTGGGTGCTTGATGAGGCGAAATTTCCAGGGCAGGGACAGCCCCCCTTGTCTAGCTTTTATCTGGCTTTTGCATTTTGGATTGTTTCCGCTGTTTGACCGCGAGCCTGGCCTGTTTCTAGCATCGTGTATTTTCTCTTCTCTCATTGTGAGAGAAGAGCAACATCGCAGCAGAGAAGCGAGTGCGAGGTCAGCGTGCTGATAAATGTGCTACCGTTCTTGGAACTCCATGGATTGGATAAGTTTGCAGGTCCACATGGAATCTAGTCTGATTGCAATGACCCTGCCGGATGTCACAGATTGAGGACATGCAGCAGCAGCAGGGTTGGCTCTTCGGACGTGGGGGTGAGTGCACAAACTGGCGGATCGTGATTCTGTCTACAGAATTGAACATTGCATGGACACCAAGACTACTGGTGGGAGTTGGCATACATACTCACCACACCGTTGTCACAGTTCATGGATGCTGCCGCAACAAGCTAGGCTAGAGACGTCGCCCGACATGGGACTCCAACATCTAGGCACCCGCGCAACATTTGGCTTTGGACCAGAGACAGTGTTGGCACCCTGTGCTGTGGACAGCTGGGACATCTTGTTCCATCAGTGAGCCTTGTGGGTGGTATTGAACTTGATGCCCACTGGCTTTGTGAATATTCCTGTCACTCATGCATTCCTGAACACTGTTGATTGTCTGTTGTCAGCCTTTGATAAGGGGGACCTACTCTATCTCCGAGACGAAGCTGAGAGGCAGCGCCACGCTGAGCTCGAGCTCAGGGACAGCGAAAAAACACAATTTGCGGCACTCAGGGCGAAGTTCGAACAGCAGGATGGGCAGTCCGATGTCGTTCGAATAGCCAGGAAGGGAAGGACATCGGGAATGTGAGTGGCTTCCCTATTCCACCCGTGACATGCACCATCCGGCTTTGCTTGAGCGGCTGTGAATCTGTTGCTTGCGCTTGAAATTGATAACACATGTACAGGAAGCCTCGTATGTTGTTGACCTGATAATAACCAGAAGATATGGTAGCCACTCCATTGAGTTTGTGTTGGTTTGGGTGCTGCCTGACTGGCTGTGCTCCCCACAGGTCCCAGCCTGAGCTGTTAGCACATGTCGTGAAGGTAAAGGGCCAAGGCAGCACTGAAGTGCCTGACCCAGGTGGTTGCGATTTGGAGCAGCCCAGCCTGAAAAGGATGAAGTACAGCGCTTCTTCTTGCCCAAAGGACACTGCTGCATTGGATTCAGATGGAGACCCAGCTTCAGGAAAGCTTCATGGCAGTTGTGGCGTCAGTGTGAGTGAGGTAGCAGGAGCAGACGTGCAGGACGAACTAAAATCGGCCGAAGCTGAAACTGGACAGGGCCTTGGAGGTCTCCTTGGCGATTATGCCAGCTCGAGTGAAGACGAAGACGAAGGCGATTGCGATGGAAATGGCAACGGCGGGAGGAGCACAAGCTGTAGGGGCCCGCCTTCTGCGAAATCCGGGAGAGGGATTTCCAAAAAGGGAGATGCCGCCCCTGTGAAGGGGCCTGTTGGCAGGCCCAACAGTGTTTCACTGCCAGATGCCAGGGAGCTGTTGGGCTTGGGCAGGACTGGCAAGGGTGGGAAAGGGGAGGGCTATGAGGAATTGGATGCTGCAGATGGCCATGTAGGGTCCATGACGCGCAGCATGATTGGTGGCGCTAATGCAGAGCGTAGTGAAGATGATGATGGCGACGAGAGCGACGATTAGTCAGCAGTGACCCTCCGCCGCTGTGCACAACATGTGCCCATTAAAAGCAGTGCAGGTGACGTCCGTAATAATTCTAACGCAGCAATGCCCTTCGCTGATTTGTAGGTTGAGGGGTTGGTGGGGTCAAAGAACTACCCTGCAGCGCACTAGCGGCCACAGTACTACGCATTTGAAGCAGTGCCATGCCGCGGGCAACACCGATCGGTCTGCTGTGTGCACATGCAGCTCCATCCACAAATCGAGTCGCTGCAGCTGCAACGGCAGAGCTGCGTAGCTACGACTTCGCCTAATACGACTATTGCGGGGCCCTGGTTGCAATGCGCATTGCACAGAAAACAACAAAAAAACGTACGAGCAACGTGAATGCGCTGGCGTGGGCCATGGCTCGCACAAGTTGCCACAAAAAATTTGATGCTCGCTGCTTGTCAGCAACATTCCGGTGCCAAACATAAGCCATGGCGACATCAACGGACTTGTTGCAGAATTTCCGCCACGCAGTTGTACGGCTGTAACAATAAGTTCCAATTGTCGGCACACCATCGACCGAAGACAACCGTCATGGTGTGATTCATCTGAGGCAAGCAAGCTCCAATCGTGCTTGCAGCGGTGTGAGGCCGCCACTTCCAACTCTGGCATCCGCCGCATTGTTGTCCTCTCCATGTGCAGACCGTGAGTCTGGCACCCCTGTGTCACTTCGAATTGAGAGAGCTGCCTGAACTCCCGCCTATGTCCTGCACCAATGTCAAGAATATGCCTGACCACCGCACAGTATCAACTTCAGGGGGAACCATGGCCCTTCCGTGAATCGCTGTGGCCAACTTCCTTCGCAACCTTGCCATCTGCTGCATACAGCCGCCAGCGCCCGACAATAGGACTCAACTCATCACTGCGGATCATGGAGAGAAGGCACAAGGACAGATAACAATCTGCCACAGGACGCTAACTGTAAGGCACAGCCTGTCACATCCCGGCCAACAGCATTGCTGCCGGCCGATTGTGTGCGTCGATGACGGCGCGCCAGAGATTGGCACTGGGTCCAACGTTGGAAATCCGCTATCAGTCATCCAGGAAGTAAAACGTCCCGGCCAACTTCTGTTCACGATCCTTGGTGGAATCGAATTTGTTGATCCGGGGGCGGAAGTTGGTGGAGTCTCGCCGGAACGTAATGTCCAAGTTCTTCAAGAAGAGGTTCAGGCCCGACAGCAGGGACATCGGCGATCGTGCAGTGGCCTGCAACGGAAGGAAGGGCTGAGAAACGCAACATCTGCGGGTCGACTTCAGAGCATATTCGGGCAGACAGCAACATCCAAATAGCAAAGTTGGGGCCAGGGAGCGAAGCGTTGCCTTCACGACAGGCGCAAGGCAAGCAAGGAATCCGGTGAACGTGTAGTGGGTGGCTGGAATTGTATAACATGAGTACAAAATATGTGAATCATCAACAAAGCACAGGTAGGAAATGATGCAAGAATGGTGTTGGCCCTGCTGTGAAGCACATGCTTAGTGCACCTGTCAATCACGGATCATGCATATGAAGCTGCAATCGGCTTTCTCAGCTTCCAAAGATCGCGTTAAGCTACCTGTGCTTTCCCCAAGCTCCACATGCGCTGATACCATTTATGTGCCATGTGCTGATGGGACCTTGGCTTTTTGATTCCACAACGTTCAAGTCTGAGATGGGTTGCGGTTGGAACCGCTTTCTAAAGTGAATAGAGCGGCAAAAGGTACCCTGCAATGGTACTCCGGCTCATGGGCTTGGTGTGCCCATATTGGCAGAAAGGGTCAACACTGGCAATCTGCTGAGTTACAGACAATACATATATACCTGCAAGCCAGCACCACGGACAGCTCAAGGTGGGTATTGCAGATTGCTTAGTGAAGAAATCGACTGGTCAGTTCAGCAGGCTTTCGACAGTGGGTCCTACATTATTGGCATTGTCTAGCCTCATCCTCCTCTCTGAAATGCCATTCATTACCGCGATAACTCTGAAGATAGGTCATGAGCCCCAAACCCAATGGCACCAGAACAACGGAAGCAGGTACAATCAAGTGACAGGAAATCAATCAGGGGGCGCAGGACAAAGCCAGGGAAACAGAATCCCCCAAGGACACCGAATGTACACAAGCGCACCTCCACTGATGGCTGCCCCTCATACACAATCACTCTATCTGCCAGATACGTGGCCATGATGAAGTCATGCTCAACGATGAAGGCAGTCTTCTTCGAGTGCATGATGAACCGCTTGATGACCTTAGCAGCAAGGATGCGCTGCTCCGAGTCGAGGTAGGCGCTGGGCTCGTCGATTAGATAGAGATCGCCAGGCTGACCCAGGCAGAGTGTCAACGCTACGCGTTGCAGTTCCCCACCTGTTACAGCACCCAAAATAAACAATCTGGACGTGTGTTGCCCTTGGCACTGGGGCAATGGTCCACCAACTTCATGGCAAGCAATTATCATCGAGGCACAGGATCGCAATCAACAGTTAGAATCCCACAGATTGATGCAGTTGACAATCATCGCAACGGACCAAAGCAACCAACTGGTGGGCATCCAACGCGCTGATGGTTCCGGAATGCCAACAATCCATTTGACGATAAGCTACCCAGCATTGAAAAATAGCAACAGGCTTCACTCTGCGCAATCCACATCGCTTAGCTGTTTGCTGCAGACTTTCAGCTCCTCACTGCCTCCCATTGCATCAACGCCCTTGCCTGATAGATTTTGAACCTCCTGGTCGATGAGTTGATCCATCTGGAGCGGTTTCAGCACATCGCTGTTGAACTGTGGGTGCAGGTAGCTGTCCCGGATCTTCTTGTGCAGCAGCTCCCTCACAGTGCCCTGGAACTTAGGAGAGATCTTCTGGGGCTTGTAGCTGACATTGAATTCAGGCATCTCAACATGCAAGGCGTCGTCGGGCTTCAGCATACCTGCCAGCATGCGGATGAAAGTGGTCTTGCCAGTGCCATTCTCACCCAGCATTACTATGATTTCTGAGTCTGTAAACTCGCCCGCTTCTACCTGTGTGCACAGTATGTCACCAACGAATGTTGTCAGTTCATCTTGTGCGACTGAAACATGCCGAATGATGAAATCACTGATCTTGCACTTGCTGTGCAATGTTTGCTGCTGATCGCAAGCAAAAGTTTCCGCATTTCGGAATTTTGACAATGGAATTTGCACTGGCCAAAATGCACAGTTGTTCCCATTCCCCAGCCTGCCTGTGAGGGGGCAAGTCAGGACATGCAGCAAATAGACAGAGGAAAACAAGTCCAACGTTGAGCTCCAGCTGTGCATGGCACAGTATTCGCAGGTGCTCACAGTCACTCGGCAATGAAAGAGGAAATTGGCACTGTGCAGGAAACGACACGTGAGAAAATTGGAGTTCAGGAGACCAGCTGGCATGGCCCAGATTCAATTCACATAAACCATGACCATCGACCAATGTTCATGAACAGGATCTGTGTGACATGTTGCATTATTTGCAAAGATCATAGGATGTTTAAAGGCCTGTCCATGGCCTTGGCACCAAATTCGCGTGCAGAACTGCTGGCCACTTGAAGTCCATTCTCCAACCACCGCCATCCCCTATGTGGAGTGCCATGGCATCCCATATCTGGGCATAGCGCCCCAAACCCCACATCCCCTATTCTTAACCTTCCCCATCTGTGCCACATGAGCCAACTTCAGGCTCCCTTCTAAGCATGGGATGTGCACACAAATGATGTTCCAGCCGCAAGCCATACTCACAGCACATGATGGCCATCAAGGCATGACTGACTCCCTGACTGAGAGTTTACCGAACTGCCCTGCCACCATGGCGACTGTGGCCCCACAGGCTACAGACCTGCAAGTGGCACAGTGCCTTTTCATATGCATCTTAACCCTATTTAAAAAAGCATGTTGTCTGTTTTTGCTGTGCAAATAAATGGATCTGCTGGCACAGGATGGAGATGCAATGCCTACAGGCTCTGGAACCCTAGGTATCCCGATCAAGAACATCGACATGACTCACATGCATCTTGAATATTCCCTGTGACTTGTTCATGTCGGGATATTTGAATCGCAGGAACTTCTTGTTGTCCTCATCTCCAGCATACTGCTCCGTGACTTTGAACGTCAGTGACTCCTCTCTGAAACGCAGGTTTTCTGTGGGAATGTAGCCAGCAAGGAAATGGTTTATTCCTTCCCTGGCAAACACAGCACACGCGCAAACTTTGACATCACAGGACACCTTCTCTACCAAGGAACTGTAACTCCCACGATGGATATCAAAGATGGGGACGGAAGTTAATTCCGCACACTCTCAAAACACCCATGAACTGATTGACAACTACATCATGCAGGCGTTCGCCAGGGCAAATGGGCGGCATTCGCGTTTTGTGTCCTGTGCTTATGCACATAAGCATAGTGCAGCTTCTATCAATCATCGACACAGCTATTGTCAGCGCTGGACAAATCCATTTTCAAAGTCAGGGGCAAAAAATAGTGCAACACAAGCCACCTGCAGTACCAGCAACATTACATGTTGCGGCACTACACATCTGGGGAAGAAGGGAATAGCAGTTTTGTCAGCACACAGCAAGCACCCTGATGGTCCACAATCTCCTTGCTGTAGTTCGGGGATGTGGCCGAATTTCCTTGTGTTGTGCAAGCAGTTTACATGTGTCCTGTCCAACTTGTGCCTCAAGGGGTAAGAACACTGAAGGACAGACTTAGGCACCATGGCCAAAAATTCATAAAGGCAGGTCCACAAGCAGACAATAACAGAGCTTGGCTCTAGTGTTGCAAACCAACACCTATTACTAAGTTGCATGCAAAACCACAGTGCCAGATCACATAGAATTCAGAAAAAGGACTTGGGTCCAGTCCAGTTGGACACAGGAAAATACTTCAATGGGCACACTTGCTCTGCTGTCCAGATACCAGCATCGCCTGGTCCATGCAGGAGCAGTGCTGCCTTGTGCTTTTTGACAAAGGCAGTTGCAAAGGACCTCAGAAATGCAGTCCACAGTATGTACTGTAACGTGGTAACCATTTACCTCACTCCAAAAGGCAGAGTGACCACGCCATATGCCCCTGGGTTGCCATACAGGCAGCAAATGAAATCCGACAAATAGTCCAGCACACTCAAGTCGTGCTCCACAACGATGACATATTTGTCATTTGCCAGCAGCTCTCTGATGACCCTGGCGGCTTTCAGACGCTGCCTTACATCCAGGTAGGATGACGGTTCGTCCATCATGTATACATCGCACTTTTGCACAGCAACAACGGCGATTGCAAATCTCTGTAGTTCACCTCCAGACAGCGTGGCAACATCGTTGCCAATGACCTGAGGGAACATGCACAAAATAACATATTGTCGATCGATTGACTTCATCGGCAGCATCTCAGGGAAAAAGCAAAGAACCACTCCAGATTGCCACCCACTGCCATTGGCAAAGACAAGAGGGTAACTTGTCCACAAACACACACACAATCACAACAAGCAAGATATCAAGGTTACCTGGTCTAGGTCCAGCAGTGTCTGCAGGTGTTCCCGGGTTTCCCTCTGATCCTTTGATTCCAGGACATCGCCCACGGTTCCCCTCACAGCCTTGGGGATGTGGTCAACATATTGGGGCTTGATGATGGCGCGAAGATCATCTTCCAACACTTTGGTGAAATAGTTCTGCAGCTCAGAGCCCCTAAAATGGGCAAGGATTTCTTCCCAATCTGGAGGGCGCTGCAAGCCAACAGGAAAGCATTAGCTGACGCGCGATGGCCATACTTTTCCTGTTTTTCCGGAATCCTTGTAGCATATAGGAAGCAAGGCGCTGTCCCCATCCAACAAAAATAGGACCAACAACCAAAATGCAATTTCATAACATGTCCAAAACTAGCAAAAGCAACTTTCCATTTTGTTTCCAGAATGAAACCAACTAAAGCAGAAAATTACAGCTGCTGGATGATACACCAAGCAAAAGTGCAAATTTCAATAGGTCCTTACAGATTCTAAACACAGCAAGTGACGAATGGCATAACATGAACCGGAGCCGAAACATTGAGCATCAAAAAGTACCAACGACTAATAGCAGTTGCGTATTGTGCTGCATACCACCTCTCTTCTTCAGTGATCAATGTGTTATCCTGCACCAGCAGCACTACGCTGCAATGCACATGCGCATAACATGTTGAAATACTGCTTATCAAGTGACCAGCTGGCAATCGCCAAAGGTGCCTGCAGGCAATCATGCACTGGAAGACATGAAGACAAGTTCCACTCTGCGATTTCGCTTGGAGGCATTGCACCAGGTCTTGCACAAGCCGCTTGCTGACATTCAGTCTCCTTCCAGTGTTCATCTCAACTCTGAACAACCCTGCCATTGACACTGACAACAAGGGTAACCGAAGGCCAACAGAAACTTCACTGGACGTCTCACCTCATATCGGCCAAGGTTTGGTTTCAATTTTCCTGCCAAAACCTGGGCAATCACACCACATTCCTCAGGTCTAATGAAAAGGAAGAGCCTCTTTGACAGGAATGGATAGGCTGCCCAAAGTGCACGGAGGAAGGGCAGCAGCAGTGTCCAAAAGGCAGCAAACCAGCACATCTGGCATGCTGATGCCATACCTTGAGCGCTGTTGACTTTCCAATGCCATTCGTCCCTACCAGGCCCAGTACTTGTCCTGGTCGTGGATGTGGCAATCTGGGCAGGCAACGAGGCTCAGTGCATGTTGCATGCACACTTCATGTTAATGCTCCAGCAGTTGCTGGAAATTGCACTCTACTCAGGCTGGGCAGTCGTTTAAGAGCACTGGCAACACAAACTGCTAGGCTAGCTAATAAGATCACCACATTTAGCACAATGACTTCAGCAACAACAGGATGCCCACCATACAGTGAACAACAGTCATTCACAACATCTTGGGTAATCGCTCTCTGCTGAAAGAACTAAACAACTGTCCACCTTGTCAGTTGTTTTCCTTGATGCCAACGTTCACAATACAACACAACCCGATGCAGCAACTAACCAAGGCTGGGCCTCTTTGTCTGTACCTGTGAAGCTTGAAAGAATTGGGTCCATAGCGGTGTGTCGTTTCCTTCTCAAGGTTCTTGGGGAGGTTGATGATTCGAATTGCTTCAAATGGGCATTTCTGAACATCGAAACAACAAAGCAACAGGTAAAATTGTATTGCTAAAAGACTAGCAACATCAAGAAAAATGACATCTTAATGGCCCATCGGTTCGGCTGGACTGGTTGGCATATGCTGGCTGATGTTGAGCATGGATCTTGTCTTCTGGCCAGTGGATTTAAAAACTGATGGCTGCTTCCAAAGCAGACAACACAACTTGCCAATTGAAGTGTGCATAAACTGCACAAAGCCAAATTTGCCACACACCGATTCTGATTCATGCTTCCAACCTGTATCACCTCCCAAAGTGGAGATTATTCACATCTGCTGCAAACAAACCCCCTCCTAACTATCAGACAATTTGGTCCTGGTCATTGGCAACAAGCTAAATAAAGCACTTCACACATAGCAGCCAGTACGGATGCAAATCAGCTGTGTTTCCTTGACTCGTTCCCACATACTGAATATCGCTGTCGATTAACGATTTCCCTGTGTAACTT